ACCGGTCAACCGGTGACAGAGCAGTACAACACTACTGGTCGACCGGTAAGGTCGACCGGTAATGTGCACACCGGTCGACCGGTCAGCCTGCAATCCGGTCGACCGCACAGGTCAACCGGTGGAATCGACTGCGCGAGAGAAGCTCGCAGAAATCAGTCCAAAAACCTGCAAATCCAGTTCCAAATCCAAATATTTTAAAGGGAAACCACTAGATCCGGGTTCTAGGTCCTAAAACAAGTCCAAAGAACCCAAGATCTCTAATTTCTACTCTAGTTTTACTCAAAATCATCAAAATCTGTTTTGAACCAAAAATAAGTTTTGAAATCTGAAAAACATAGATTCAAGAGAGGTTCTTTCAGTAATCTTACCTCGAATCCTTCTCTTGACGTTGAAAACTCTTTGAAATCACTCTTGGTTCGAATCCGGTTTTGATTTGAGACACAAATGGGAGAGAGAGAGGGAGAGAGAGCACGGAAGTGTGTGAGAGAGAGAGAGAGAGAGAAATGCACGGGAAAGAAAAAGAAAAGGAAGGAAAAGAAAGGAAAAAGAAAAAGAAAAGAAAAGAAAAGAAAAATAAAAGAAAGTGACATGTGTAAAATATAACAGTCTAGAAATGCGCCCATACACACTTCTGGATTAAATAAATTACTGTGAATAATTTAAATACCTTGGAATTATTTAAACTCAATTAATTAAATCAGATTAGGCACACTAATAATCTCAATTACCTTAATTAATCTCAATTAATTCTTCAGGGTGTTACAATTATTCTAACTTTTTTGTTGTATTTTATGCAATAAAGGATTATAGCAAATTAGTACACAAATTAAGATTATAATTGGTATCCATCGAATTAGCGAACTAAACATGCTTGTGTTAGAAGGAAAAAAACTTTATTTAATGTAATGGGTTGGACAACTAATACTTCATTTAATGAAAGGATTATTTATCCTTTAATCAAGGGGACTATTGTCTATTCAGGGATGAAAAAGAAAAGGGGATAGGGACAATTGTTTAGAATAATAACTAACCCATTCTTAGGTATCTCTTCAAACATGGGAATCGGGGGAAAAAAAAATAATGAATAAAGGGAGCTCCATTTTCCTCACTTATATAATTATGTCACACAACTCCATCATTTTAATAACATTTTGTATGATGACCAATTAAAATTAAAGTGCAACATTCTTAATAATTATGATGAAATGTTTTACTTTTAAAAAGATATAGATTAAATTTAAAAGTACTTAATCATCGGTAATTTTTTACTCTTTAATTATTAAATATATATTAAAAATTATATATTTTATATATTTTTTATTTTGATTGATTAAATTCAATAGTTAGAAATTGACTCGAGAAGTTCTCATCAAATTTTACAGTTTTTTTGTTAATTAACATTTCAAAGAAGCGGTCAAAGAAGATGGAAGTATGATTGGATGTTTGGTAGAGGGATTCGTTTCTTGATTCGAATCATGATTCGTGGTTCGCTACAGTATTTTCTCTCATAAAAAATATACGTAAATCGAAAATGGTTCGAATCACATGGTTTAAATCCTCCAACCAAACGTCATCGATGGAGCGCGAAAACAAACGCCGACCCAAAAGGCAAAATGACAAAAAAATTATCGTGGATAAATCGTAAAAATAGAAAAAAGAAATTCGCAGCCGCACATCTTCTCATCTGGAGCGTAATCAACATAAATGAATGGCGTTCTCTCTCTGAAAAGAAAAATAAAAATTTTGGGGTTCTTCTTTTGTAACAAAATTTAGAAAAAATTTAAATTTAAGTTATAATTTTATTCAAATTTATATTCTTTTAAGTTTTAATTTTATTCAATTTTACTTAATTTTATTCAAATTATAACTTCAACTCAAATTATAACTCAAACTTAACTAAAAAATTACACTCCAAAAAATCCCAAAATAATTCGTAGGACCCACTAATTCCCGGACTTTATCTGCACACGCCACACGTGTGGGGAGTATGAAGCGTATCAGAGAGCGTTTTTTGGGGTCATAGAGAGGCGGAGATTCCCATTTTAAGGAAAGGTGGATTTAATTTAAATAAATTAAAAAATTAATACATTATTATAATAGGTTGGAAAATTGTGGGCAGTGGGGGCAAACCCAAGGGCCAAGCGAGACAAGGTCATTATAGTCATTACAGAGAAAATATCAGGTGGAGCCCACACTTATAGTAGGTTTGTTATAGAGAGAGAGAGAGAGAGAGAGAGAAAATGCCGTCAACTTCTGTCCGCACTGGCATTGGCGCCAGCCTGTTCACAGCTGTACTCCAACCCCATTTTTCTCTTATCAACTAATCCTCTCATTTTTTTTTTCCTTTTCATTATAATTAATTAATGGAATTTCTCTTCAAAAATAGAAAGAGAGAGAGATCATAAAGGGAAAGGGAAATATCTAGATTTACAGATTTATAGAAACTTCAGACACACATATTTGCTCTAACGAAAACCTGGTTAAGAAGTTTATTTCATAGGAGAAGAAGACGAAGGCACTGTTAAGTCTGTTACGGTTGTGGTAATGGCAGTTTCGCTGGTTGCCAGCTTCCACGTCTCGCGCGCATTCCGACGCTCTCTTTCTTCTTCATCTTCATCTTCATCTTCTTCGTTGGTTTTCGATAAGTCGGAGGATTCTTCCTCTACTTTGCTCTCAGTCACGTTTTCTTGAGGGTTTTGCCTTTTCGCGTTACTTCAGTTTCCTCTTTCTCTCTCTTGGGTAAAAGTCTTGCAGAGGAGAGAGAAGAAGCAGCCATGGATCCGTGCCCATTTGTGCGTCTCACGGTGGGCAATCTAGCCCTAAAGATTCCCGTCGCTTCAAAGCCGGCTCGTTCGGTGGTTCACCCGTCGTCGTCTCCGTGTTTCTGCAAAGTCAAGCTCAAGAACTTCCCTCTCCAGACCGCCGTGGTCCCCTTCATCCCGCCGGAGAACCAGTTCCCAGACGGACAAACTCACACCGTCGCGGCGACCTTCCACCTGAGCAAGTCCGATCTCGACAGAATCTCCGGGAAGACTATCTTCTCCGGCAGGCTATGCCTCCGAATCGCGATCTACACCGGCCGGAGGGGCACCACATGCGGCGTCAACTCCGGGAGGCTCCTTGGCAAGGTTTCCGTGCCGTTGGAGCTCGCCGGCACCGAAGCCAAGTCCACAGTCTTCCACAATGGCTGGATTTCCGTCGGAAAAGAGGCCAAAGGCTCGTCCGCTCACTTCCACTTGAATGTTAGGGCAGAGCCCGATCCCAGATTCGTCTTCCAGTTCGACGGCGAGCCTGAGTGTAGCCCTCAGGTGTTCCAGATTCAAGGCAATATCAGACAACCCGTCTTCACCTGCAAGTTCAGCTTCCGAAACACCGGTGACCGGAATCAAAGATCCAGGTCCGTTAGGGTTTCTATTCAGATTTTTCATTTTATATTAATTTCTTAAGATTTAGGACTTATTACACACAATGTACTTTGAATTGAATAGTTTCCCAATTGGTAAAGCTCGGTCGAACCGTACGAAAAAGTTCTTGTTTTTGCCTTTTTCGTTTAAAAACAACCCAACCTCGTTCGCTTTACTACTTTTTTTGGTTAAAAGAAGATTATGTTCGAGGAATTACTTGGATTATACTTTACCTGAACATTAATTACTAATTAATTGCTAATTGCTAATATTTGCTGTGTTAATTTCACAGATCGCTACAGTCCGAGCCAAGCAGCTCCAGAAGCTGGTTGGGCTCGTTCGGGAGCGAGCGGGAGCGGCCAATCAAAGAGCGGAAAGGCTGGTCCATTACTGTTCACGACCTCTCCGGTTCACCGGTCGCCGCCGCCTCGATGGTGACCCCGTTCGTGGCCTCGCCTGGTTCGGACCGGGTCAGCCGGTCTAACCCGGGGTCCTGGCTGATCCTCCGCCCCGCCGAGGGGACCTGGAAGCCGTGGGGGCGGCTTGAGGCGTGGCGCGAGCGCGGTGGCTCCGACGGACTCGGCTACCGCTTCGAGCTCGTTCCGGACGCCGGCGGTGGCGTCAGTGCCGCCGGGATCGTGTTGTCGGAATCGACGCTGAACTCGCAGAAGGGCGGGAAGTTCGTGATCGACCTAGGCTCGAGCCGAGCCGGAGGGTCGGGGTCGCCAGCGTGCAGTCCGAGGAGCAGTGGGGACTTTGGATACGGGCTGTGGCCGTACTGTGCGTACAGAGGGTTCGTGATGTCGGCGAAGGTGGAGGGGGAGGGTCGGTGCAGCAAGCCGACGGTGGAGATGAGCGTGCAGCACGTGGGATGCACGGAGGACGCGGCGGCGTTCGTGGCGTTGGCGGCGGCGATTGACTTAAGCATGGACGCTTGCAGGCTCTTCTCGCACCGTCTCAGGAAGGAGCTTTGCCACCAACAGGATTTGCTCGGCTGAATTTACTTTTTTCTTTTTTTTTTTTCTTGTCTTAATTTTTACCTTATTTTTGGTGAAATTGAATTCTTGAAATGTTTATTTTTTCTTCTTTCTTTTTTTTTTTTGGGGGGGAGGGGTCGATGGATTTTTGACTCCATCGTTGTGAGCGAGCGAGTTGTTTTCGTTTTTACTACTAACAACAAAAAACACTCATCTAGAGTCTGTACAGTGAGAGAAACTTAGTTAGACAGGGCACGCTTTGTTTTTTTTTACTTGTGTGGCTTGTGTTAGTTTTTTTCCCCCCTCTTTTGGAATTTTATTGTATGAACACAAATCGCTTTTGAGATATATGTGGTCACACTCTGAAATCTCTGTTTTCAATTTGCTGTCCATTTGATCAGTTAATATATTTAAGAACTCATGTGTTGTATATTCAATCTCTTTTCCTTCGATTAAACTTGTGCCCTTGTGTATGTGTTTTTGCTTCAACGTGATATTGGTGATGGACTTCTAGTTTTGGAGAAATTGGAAAATGAGTTTGAGGTTGGTGGGCATTGGAACGGGGAAACTGCGTGCACGTTATGCCTAGTTGCATAAATATCGGTGAACTTTTGATTATGTTTTTTCGTTTTCCATGTCTCAACTTTCAACTAGTGGAAAAGCTATTGAAGAACTTGTTTAAGCGGACGATAGCTGTATTCTTGACGAATAATTGCTATTATTAGCACCTACCTATAGTCATTTGGCGCATAAATTAATATTCCTCTCCTCCCTGGTATGACTTTGGGAGAGCTTAGTGGGAATTGTTAAATGGAGGCTTGACTTATAATTCAATTGATGTTGTTCATAGAAAGAAAGTCGATCTTGGCAATAATATATTCACTTCTCGCACGAGCAAAACCCTCCCTAAAAAAAATTCTAAAGAATATTTAAAATGCCATGACCTCATGAAATATAGGCCACGGTGGTGGGAGCATTGCTTTTTTTTTTAAAAAAATAAATAAATATATATATATATATATATATATCATAATATGTTCTCTCTCGTGGTTGGTGGTTGTGTGCGTGTGAAATTGAATCCATATGATTCTCTGTTATGCAACGTGGTTTGTGAATAACGTACGTTTCATTCTTTGTTGTCCCATGCCGTGAAGAAAAAGATAAATGCTTTCGGAAGCACATGTAACCATTAGCGTACCCTATTAGTATTAGTGTAAAATGACAGTTAAAACTATTGCATTATTATGGTAATTGGACCAACCAATCATAGTGTTAATTTGTTTGTTGGTTTGAGGGTTTCTTTTTAATAAGAATAAAAAGAATGTTGTACCAATAATATGCAGCTAGCTCTTAATAGGTTTTAACTGAGAACAAAAAAAAAACAGAAAAAGAAAAAGAAGTGGCGTGTGGTAATGGTTTTAAGTTTTAACTGCATAGGGGAGTAGAATTACTGTGGAAAGAAAAGGAAAAAACAGAAAAGGTAGAGAGAGCGACATTAGGGGTGGGCAGGGTGTGGCCGTTGGGAGACGAGAATGAACTGGTGGGGACTGGAGGATTGGGAAGCTATAGGACAAAGCAAGAGTGAACTGTCATCAAACACTTTTTGTTGGAAAGGGAATCCCTGCAGCCCTACCCAATGCATTTTACATGCCTCTCTCACAGACACTCTGTCTCTGTGTGCATCGCGTGTGGCGTCTGGCGTCTGGCGTGTGCTAAGTTCAAATTTTTTCACAACACTTTGGGTTGAAAATTTAAATTAAAAAGTGAATTTATATGATAATAAATATTAATAAAATAGTTAAATTTAGGGTTGTTCAGCGGCTTTTTTTTGGGTTAAAAAATTTTAAAAAAATAACTCGAGTTATAATTTTATTTAAGTTCATGTTCTTTTAAGTTTGAACTCGAGTTTAGGATTAAAACTCGAGTTCAAGTTTTTCTTTTAACTCGAATTCAAATTAATGAACAGTATTTTTTCTATTCTTAAAAATGTTATAACTTTTTCGTTTTAATTCTGATTGAGATGATTTTTTTTCTATGCGTTGACAACGAAAAGACGAATAAAACTCCACCCATATATCCTATTAAAATTTTTCATGAGTTTTTATTAACATACTATCTAAATACAAATTTAAATTTTGACTCACTCAAATATAAACTCAAAAAGATTTTTATCTCAAACCATAACTCAAATGTACACAACCAAACACAAACTCAAGTTACAACTTCAACTCAAGTTATAATTCAAACTCAACTCAAAATCTACGCTCAAGTGATCTAACTCAAAAACAATAAAAGAACAACCCCAATTTTTATACGAAAAAATGTTATACTAAAATTTAAACTGTGATTCAAATCTAAAAAAAGAAAAAGAAAAAGAGATTAGTGAACTATGAGCATTGAAATATATTTGTTAAAGAACTTTTGATGGCAAGATCATTCTCTGAGTTGTTTTGGGACTTTTTTTTTTCTCTGACATCAAAATTGATGAATCATTTCTGAAAAATAACGAGTTAATAACATCTATATCACATCACATACTCAAGTTATCACGCTTATATGAACATAATTAACTCGTTTAAATTAGAAAGTTTCATTATCAGTAGCCAAAATTGTTAAAGATTATGACTTTAAAAATTAATATGTAAAAAAAAGTCGAGATTACAACAGAGCTTGCCAAACGTGAGACACCCACAGAGTGGAGAGGAGAACTACTACACACCCACTATTAGCTCAGCTACTACCCCACTTGGGGGATTTAGGTTGTACCTGTACTTTCGGCTCTTTCTTGGCGTACCTAAAAGAGATATATATCCTTACAGGAATACCTTTTGTTTTTGGTAAATTTGGATAAATCATAGCTGTATAGCAAAATATTTCTCTTAAAATTATTAACGTTATTATTATTTGCTCTTAACGAGCGTCGTCATTATTTATTTATTTATTTATTTTTCTCGGTGGGGTGGTGGGGGAAATCTTTTCTGCATTATTGATCATATACTGGTGGTGAACTCCTAGGACATGGACTGGCTTTATATTAAAAATAAAAATAAAAATCCAAAATCAAATGTTATAACGGTGACCCTGAAGATCAATTGGGGCGTGAATGAAGGCATAGAGAACGTTACAATGCACAAAAGTTGCATGCCGTGAAGACAAAAATAAGAGTGTCGTTTTTCATTACTAGACATATCCTTTTTCTTTTCCTAAAATTTTCTAATTATATTCACTTCACATTATCAACGAAATGATCATTTATTAACGAGAAACTATGTCAGATTTATGAAGTTAAATTAAGTAACGTATTTAAAATTATTTGAAGTAAATAACAGTTTATCGTGTAAATATTTTTTTTTTTATGAATGATAAAAAAATCTTTTATTTACGTGAAAATTTTTTTTTATCAGTCATAAAAAGAAAATTTACGTGGAAATTTTTTTTACTTATCGTAAATAAAATATTTACACGATAAACTGTTAATTATTTTAAATATTTTGAAATTCGCTATTTATTTATGTAGTTTTATAAATATGCTATTTACTATATTCTCTTTTTATTAATTTACAGAGTTCTAAGAACTTTTTTAGTGGGGGTTTTGGTGGATTACCATTTACTTTCAAAGAGTACTGTTTCTGGTAGGTTGTCTTACTGATAAGATTAGTTTTTTAACTGCTGGATCTTGTCAAAATTAAATGAGATTGAAAAAGTATACAAAATAGACAATTTTTTATACATATTACAGTAATGGAACTTTTTTTGTTTGCTAGTTATTAGCTATTCATGAATATGTCCACAAAATTCATTTGATTGCACAAGGAGTAAGGATAGAGTTGGAAAACATAAACAAATCAATTTAACCAACTCATGATTCGTACGGGCACATAGTTATTTAAATAGTAAATTTATGGTGGAGTTTTCTTCGCAGATCTTAAGAATGCTTGGTAAAGAAGGATAGAAAAATAATTAAAAAAAGAGTAAAATAAATTAGAGTAATAATAGGATGCATCTTGTACCACACTATTGTTTGGTCCCAAATTCCAATGGCCAATTTGGCCGTGACAAAGTTGGTGAACTTATTAATATTGATGCCACATAGCGACATTTGCAAGAATACTCCTGGACCGTATTTGTTTGCTTCTGTTTTTAAATATTTTACATAGAAAAAAATATATAATAATAAGAAGAGGGAGCTTCTTATCTTGCATAACTAGGTGGGTGTTGATAATTAGAATAGAAATTTTTTTATCAAAAGAGTCCAAAAGGTGAGCTTACAGCCAAGGGAGACAAGCAAGTAACACTTCCCTGCAAATTGCAAATTGCAAATTGCAAATTGCATTGGTGAACTTAATTTGATAATGTAAGAATATGTTAGATCCAAAGATTTATTCCTAGTAAATATGTTAATGAATATCTCCTTTTGGTGAAAATGAGTATCTTTTTTCATATTCTATCACGAAACAAAATTCTCCTATAAACATTTGTTTGCTTTTATACAAATTGTTAAAAGAATAACGTAAAATCAATCGAGAATCTTTTTGTAAGCTACAAAAAAATACCCTATTGATAATGTGTTGCTTTTATAGTAGGATTCTAGAGTGAATTAATTCTGTACTTTTTTTCATTTTGATATTGTTATATAGTGATACATTGGTACGAAATTATCTTATGGCGATAGGAGTATTTTTATACCATATATATTATAAAATTCTCCTAAATAAATTTCTATAAATGCTGCATTTTTTTTTCCCAGACAGAGTAGCTTATTTTAAGTAATTACTATTCTTAATTTCTAATTAGCAACTATTTTATAATCTTTCTCCTTCTTACTTATTTTAAAAGTAATATCTAAATTTTATTTTTCACAGAATATATATCTTACCATATATAAAAGCCCCGATCCAGACTGCCGCCGTTTCGCCCCATAGGGACGAAATGTTTGGTCCGTGAGAGGGGATGGACGAAATGTTTAGTCCCAAATTTTTTTTAGATTTTTTTTTTTGCTTCTCTTATTCTTGCTTGTTTTCGGTCCCCATATTCTTTTATTTACTTTTTTAGCCTCTAATTTTTGTTTTCCTTTTCTTATCCTTATTTAATTTTAGTATCATTTTAGACCCCTTTTCTAGTGGCCCGATCCATCTGCTATCACCACAAACCCTCAAAAAAATTTCATAATTAAAGCTCCATACATATGTCACACTATGAGTTTTTTAAACCGGATCAAATAGAATTTGAGTCACCGTACTCTAACAACTTTTTTAGTCCCTTATATTTTTCCTCACTCTTTATTTAATCATATATATATATATATATATTACAACCATACATTCGTATTTTTTTTGTTCTTTCTTTCGCTTAAATTTTTACTTTTCTTCTTACCCTAATTGAATCTTATTATTATTTTAATCACTCATTTTTGTTTGTTTTTTTTTTTTTTTTTTTTTTTTGCTTTTCTTTCTTTCAATTTTTTTGGGGTCTCCTTCCGTTTTTTTTTTTGCTTCCTTAATCTCCCGTTTCTTTTTTTTTTTTCCTCTCACCTTATTTAATCTTATTTAATATTATTAATTCATCTTGTTATTCTCTTTAATTTTATTTGTTTTATCACTTTTTCTTCCAAATTTTATTCTCATAAATAACTTTTCCCTAATACTCTTGGTTGAATAATTTTTATGTTAGAAAAATAAAAACAATAACACAATAATTAAAATTTAATTCAAGAATATAACTTACAAAATTATCCTCACTTGTAGTAATCTTCGAAATATGTGGTACCCTTATTTATGACCAACAATTGTTGCGATTAAAAAAATGCCCTTTTCTTGGATTCTTCTTAACTGAGTATATAATAATGTACACAGATGAAATCAATCAATCATACAACCTTGTTGTGAAAATGCCTTGCTTGAGAATTAAAAGATGTTTGATTCAACATTGGTAAGGGAGAATTCTGCTTGACTCAAGATGGAAAAAAATAAATAAAGAAAGAAAGATTTTTGATGAAAATAGTCAAAAGAACATGCAAATAACAAGTGAAATGAACCAGCTAAGCAGATTTTGTGTGAAGTAGCTAAGAAAGATATAGGATGTTTGATCTGCGTAAAAGCTAGTAAAAGGAACAAGGAACTTTATTAAATTGAAGAATGTGAGGATCTTTTTCCTGAATTTTGCAAACACAATAATCTTTGGATGCAATTGTCCATTTGAAGTGAAAGATTTGTGTTGGGGGTAAAGGAGGCAAGGCCAAGGAAAAAAAAAGGGGCAGAAATCCAATGTATTACTTGTATTTATTTTTATTTTATTTGTTTCGTAATAAGATTACTTGTATGGTTGTAAAGTGAATAAGTTGCCTAGTTCTCCTCCGTAAATCCAGTCCAATGCACAAGCTAGAATTAAGCTGAGTGCTGCTAGGTTTTGAGGTATTTTTGTGGAGAATTTTGAGTACGGGAAAATGTTTGTATATAGGCTTAGTATACCCATTTCAAAAAAAAAAAAAAAAAAAAATACTATACTACTGTTTCTAAAAAACGTGGAATCAACCTAGCAGTAAATCAATATCTACCCAATATCGAGGTTTAGAACTGGAATCTTGCAATCCAAAATAAATAATAAAAAAATTACCTTGTATTTTAGAATATACTTTGGTTTTTAATCATGTATACCATTGAAGTGACAATAATAATGTTTAATTAGTAAATATGATACTTACCAATTATTTTAGTCAGTAGATAGTAAATAAAAGATTTACTAAAGAAGGTCATTTCGTATATAGACAAAAAAAAAAAAAAATGTGATTTTTCCAAATCACTTCTAAAATAACGATTGGCTCGACGAGCAGATTCATGATAGGTTCAATTATTTACGCAACCACTTAAAATATTTTAAGAAATAAATAAAAAAAATAAGTATTTATACAAAAATGATCACTTTTACTCCTTGTTTAGAATTTATCTTTTATTTAATAATATTCTTAATATGTCCATTTTATGGTTATTGAGATAATATTATTTCAAATATATTCTTTTTGTGTAGATAGTTATGGGTAGTTAATAAATGATAACAATGTCATCACGGATTATGTTACAGACTTATATGTAAATATTACAAGTTGTTGACATTTTATTTTTTCAACTCCTACATAATACACATATATGCAATTAATTCTAAAAAAAGTCTACACAAAACCAAAAAAAAAAGAGAAGAAAATTGTAGCATTTACTTTAAGAGTGCATGAGTATGAGTTTTATCCTTTATTTTTAATTAATATTCTTTTAGGAGTATAGTTATTTAACTAAAAAAATTATTAATAAAAAATAATAGTAAAAATTCTAATTCATACATTTTAAAGCCGTATTTATATTTTTTTAATCAAGAGTAATAGTAGGAATTCTAACCATACACTTTTTTAAGCGGTATTTCTTTCTTTCCCCGAACAAAAGCAAGACAGCACGAAAGCCCGCAATGCTACAGCAAGCCCGGCCCACTCTAGTTATATGTAGAGATATTTATGGACTTTTCAACACGTTTGTCCATTTTGCTGCATACAAACTTCGCATTTACTTCAGCATCTGGGCTCTTTACACGCATTACCAAAATTTAAAGGGAGAATGAAGAATGAGAACAAATCCGAAATATCATACGGTAAAAAATTAAAAAATATTATTTATATCATTTTATTTAAAAATAAATAATTATTATTCAGTTATTAAAGAAGAAATAAAAAATTATAATAGCACTTAATTATTTAAAATGGTATAAATAATAGGTCTCCACAAAATTATGGTAAACCACAAATTTATTGTAAATAATTGAAGTATATAGTAGATTTTAAAATTATTTAAAGTAAATAATAGTAAGTTAAAAATTTACATGTTAAAAAATCTTTTCACGAGTCGTAAATAAAAAATTTAAGTGGTAAAATGTCTTTTTACTAATCGTAAATAAAAAATTTACTTGGTAAAATTTTTTTTTACTGCTATTTATTTCAAATATTTTAAAATCTGTTATTTACTTAATTTAGTTTTGTAAATATGTTATTTACCATAAGTTCTAAATTTTTTTTTTTGTTGTTGTTAAATAGAAGAGTTTAAATATAGCAAAATTTTAAAATATTATAAGAATAACAAAATTTGTTATCATTAAAATAATGAATACATCATTATAAAATACAAAATGTAAAATTATTATGTTATTTTTGCTATTTTTGTAATATTTTAAAAATTTTGTTATATTTTAACTCAAGTACAAAATTCTGGAGGTATTGTATATCTCCTTCATATTCACAAAGTATTTCTTGTTGGATATTAATATTTATGGCCCAAGTTTTCGGGTGCTTGTTTTCCTTATTAATTTATATCGCGGAGTTATGTTGGTGCGTTTTGGATGAAATGACCATAACAGAACTAGAAGTGGTGCGTCATGACCAAACAAAAGTAGCTAAAGGACTTGTTCCATGTGGGGACAAGGCTCTCAACTTTGCATCAAGTGTTGTTGATCATTTTTTTTTTTTTTTTTTGACGCACTTGTTGATCATTTTCATTACTATTATAATAGTTCGATCCTCAAGGGAGAGTAAGAGACCAATTCAATAGGAACCAACTGATACCTCTAAATTTATCAAACACTTAATGAAGTAGAAACAAAAAAGTCCTAATCTTTTTTCTAACTTGGATATCAAGGGCCTATTTGAATTATGAGACCAAACATATACAAGAAGAAACCACCAGGAAACTGCATCAATGTTGTTTGCTCCAATTTCCCGCTTCCTAAATCTTATAAACCATCCACTAGAGAAGAATTATCCTCTCTATCTTCTTGATAGAGCGTGAAAATCCGAAGAATCAACTGAGTTTTCTTCTTCTCCTTCTTCAACAGCACCTAAATTCTCATCTGTTGTCAGTATCTCAGTGCTTTTCTCTCCACTACGCAATTGCAACCCCCCATTGGTTTTTAGATTCTCCACTGGAAACTGCATTCTCATCAGTGCTTTTATCAGTTCCATCAAATTGCAAAGTTCCTTGTGATGGAATGGAGTGAGGACCATCAAGCACTTCCTTTCCTTTTTGGGCTGCATCGAAATTATCAACCACGGAAAGAGTCGAATACGAATGCCTTTGCAAGTATGCCTCTCTTTCATTAGAAGTTGGATTTAGATCATGAATCAACTCTCTCAACTTGCTGGTTCCATTGAGAGAAGTAGGGCCTTTGGCAAGCAACATTGCTGAATTGTTCTCCACTTTTGACTGCTCGTTCGCCTCAGCCTTGACTAACAAAGTCGAATAAATGGCATTGTCTAAACGGGAAGAAGCAAAATCGTTTTCAGAACCGTAACTTTGAGCTCTGAAATTGTAATGCATTTTTGTCTCTGAATCTTTCATACCAACTACGAAATCTTCGGTATGATTTTTTTCGGTTTCTTTCCCCACTTCAAAATCGTTTTCACTCTCGGTTTCTTTTTCCTGAACTTTTCTCAAGCTCCCAACAATGGATTCTGTATTCCGCATCACAGAGCCAGAAGCATCATCATCTTTGTGATGTTCCTCTCTAGCCCCTCGGATATGAGTTTTACCTTCTTCTTCATCCTGGGGTTGATCCTCCAACACGTTCACATCCTCAAAATCAATTCCCTTGTCTTCTTCTTCACTTCCCTCATCCCTCTCCCTATCTTCTTCATCAATCAAATCTTCCACACCCTCAGCTTCCTCCTCTTCAGCTCTCTCTTGATCATGCCCATCTATCTGATCATCTCCACCGCCCGGCCCATCTTCAGAATCTTCTTCCTTCCCCTCACGCTTTTTGGCATCAAATGAAGTGTCCTTGACCAGGGGACGGAGGTCCCTCCTCCCAAGCGTTATGATCTCATCACGACCGTTCTGAATTTTTCGAGATATCTCCGAGGAGCTATCTTCATACTCGGCCTTCTTATCATTCGAGTGCTTCACTTGGTAGAGCAACCAGATGCAAATTGCAAGCAACACACATATCTGAAGAACATGCTTAACCTTGAACCCTTTTGGCCTCTGGTTTCTGCTAGGAGATTGCTTCAACATGGTCAAATTTCCAATTTTTTTTCAACTCCACCAAATATTTAGTAGGCCAATCTGTATGCAAAGAAGTAACTTACATCATAAGAGAAAAACAACAAAACAACTGTAGTAATAACCAAAGGCTTTAGCTAGCTACTAATGAAGTGAAAGATAACAAAATTTACAGGTTCCAACTGAACCCCAACTAATGTTTTTACTCAAAAAAAAAAAAAAAAAAAAAAAAAAAAACACTAGGCCTTGTTCGTTTTGCAATTCAAATCACAACTCAAACTTTTTGCCTTGGTATTTTCTCTCACAAAAATTTAAATTCAATTGTTTGTGCTACAAATTTTTCTCCCATAAATCTACTTTTCAACTCAAATTCTCAACTCGGACCTGCAAAACGAACTAGCCAATTAACATTTCTACTAGTCTCACTCACCTAATTTGAAATACTGAAGAGGAAGCTTAGATATTGAGTAATGAGATTCAAAGTGTATTTTCTCAGCATAGACAAGGGAAAACATCCACATTCACGAACAAGAAAACATTCTCCATTTACTCGTGAGGAATTATTAGTAATATCTGTGTCTGCCTACACACATACATTGAAGAGGAACCATCCAATTAATCATTTCTATTTTTTACACACTTCCAAAATTTGGCTGAACTTATAGTGAACACAGAGATATAGAAGGAAAGAATAGTTAAAACTCCAAGCAAAAGCAAGGTCCCCAAAAGAAAAAAAAAAAAAAAAAAAAAAAAAAAAAAAAAAAAAAACAACAACAGAAAGAAACAAAACCCATATCAAAATCATGTTTCCTAGATTGCGACGACCACAAAAACTCTGATTATGCGCAAATTGAAAGAACACAAATAAACAAAAGCAAAGTAATTAAAGAGAAAAAGTACGACAAACACGACAGTTTAGCGAAAGAGAAAGAACATACCGAAGAGAAAAACCAAGCTTTGCTTTATTACGGTGTGAATAAGCCGAAGTTAACAGCTTTTAACTTTGGTTTTTTTTTTTTTTTTTTTGGTGGGTCTAAAATTAGTGGTTAGAAATGAGAGTAGCAGCAGTAGTTGAGAGGTGTGGAAAACGCTTGTGTCGGTGAGTCTCTCTCTATCTCTATATATCAGCTTGTGTTGGAATGAAAAGCCAAATTAACGAACACGAAGATGAACAAGGAGAGAACAAGATCACACGAAAAGAGTGCACTTACTACTCACTCACTCAAGTCAGTTTGAGTCAGACGATTCATCTTAATATCTATCTTCTCAACTTTGTTGTGGTGGTGCCACTGGTACTCCTCCACTCCAGTCCAGTAAAATACTCTCTACACTGTACGTCAGTCTAATACTCCCTGCACTCCTCCACTTGTCCACGACCCTCTCTCCGTAAACCCGGTTTAGTTTACTAATTTAAATTTTTAATTTAATTTTAGATATAATTTTATATAAATTTTTTTTATTGTAATAGAAAGTTAAATATAATTATTTTTAAAATTTATTTTATTATGTTAAAATTTGAATTCTAAGTGAAATGAATCGAAAGTTATCAACCTACACTCTACACGTTGTCGTTCTCTTTGCTCCAAACGGTGTCGTTTCGTGTTTGGTTCTAGGCGAGCTGATGTGGCATTGTACCTCTGGTTAACTTCCTTGGTGCTGCCTGGTTTGCCGGTTAAATTGAACGTCTCTAGTTTGCTAAAGTTTTGGAATGGTGGGTAAAGTGTCCGTTAACAATAATGTGAGGAATTTAGTGCTTTAATAAAATAATTTTCTCATCGGCTAGCTTCCTTGATGCACTTGGTTTGGCGGTTAAATTGAAGATCCCTAATTTGATGGCCTTGAATCGAGGACAAAGTACAATAATACAACGTCCTTAGTGCTTAATAAAATAAACAAAACGTTAGGAGATGGAATTAGTGCCAATCATAAAAAGTATTAGACTATCTCTAATATAAATACTAATGTCAATCGTATATTTTCCATAAAAAAATATATATAGTATGTTATTTTTATTTTTATTTCAATACATAATAATATTTAAAATGTTAAATCTACTTTTTTACATAATTATTAAACTTAGAAAGTTTTAAAAGTAAATTTATATATTTAAAATAATTAGAAAACATAAAAGTTGCAATGATTACATGAAAAAGTAAACATTTCAACCGATAGTAAGTAAATGTTAAATTTCTCGTATGCTACACTTAGTGAGAAATTTACCACAAAGTATAGCTTATGAGAAATTTAGCACAATAAATAGCATTGCATTGAAAAATGTCTTTTGCACTCAAATGCTAAATTTACAATTGGCACATCAATTATAGCATTGCGTTGGAGATGTTCTTAGGGAATAAGAATAGTGTGATTGGGTCAATCTAAACCAAAATGATGGAAAATTTCACGTTAAAAGAGCATTCGTTAATTTAATACATTAGCATTTTGTAACCTACAATAAATTTTTGCGGTTATATTCACACACTCCTCTTTACTTTCCATACCCTCATTTTAATTATAATTTCTTATTAAAAAGACTCGTGTAAAATGACAAAAAGAACGATTATAATAGACTTAATTACATAATTAAATTTTATTATAAAAATAATGATATTTTATTTTTTTTCCCTTCACACAGCCCAGATGTCATATTCTCAAATTACAAACAATTGTTGTTTTGAAATCTATGATAAAACTTTAATTTTTACCATTCAATCATTATTCAAAAAAAAATTACATAGAGGTATGTTAAATTTTTTTTACTATTTGTTCTACGGTGATTGTTTTTTTTTTTTTTTTTTTTTGCCTCTTCTTTCCTTTGTTTTCTGTTAATGTTTTAAATTTTTCTAATTATTTCATTTTTGAAAGGAAAATCATTTTGTTTTATTTACTTTTTCGTTTCTTATAAAGTAAAATTGATTTTTTTTTCAATTTTGTTCTTTTTTATGTTTATTATGCTCGTTTATTTATTTTTCATTCCTTTTCCATTTGTATATTTAATCGTACCTCAATAATATAATAATTTTATTGCTGTATTTTTATTTTATTTTTTATTTCTTGAATTATATTACTTTCTATTTTACATTTTTGAGTGTCCTTTGTGTTTTCTAAAATAAAATTTTAATAAAATTTCTTCCTAGGTAAAAAAGGCGTCATGCCTAAAGCTTCAAATAAAAAAAATAGAAATATATAAATGATAATATTAAAATAAAAAATAAAATAAATAGTGGGTGTGAAAAGAAAAATGAAATGATAAAGAATTAATAATCATATGAAAATAGTTTGAGGTACTATTGGAATAATAGGAGTGTGTAAAAAGTAAATTTAACAATTTTAAAATTATGTGAGACGTGTGTTTAGAAATAGGGTGTAGAGGGTAAAAAAGAGTGTGTGCGTGATACTCTTTATGTTCTCTTGATAAATGATTATCTTTTAGTGATTTTTTTCCTTCTTTCTATCTCCTTTTGCAAAGTGGTGAAGAGGCTGGTCTAGGCCACTCAAAAAATTAATGCGTCTGAGGTTTTAGGTAAGAGATTCATGATTGAGGCCAATGTCATACTACCAAGCTTGGTTGGTTGTTGTGTGGCTATCTAATAGCACTTAATTACAAGTTTACATAAATGCATTGGTGGTTTTGCATATGGAGAGTTTAGTAACATTTTTAAGAATACATGAATAATAGACACAAATAATATATCACCTTTTAATAATTGAACTAGATCATAATAATTGCACCAAGGCAGGCGCTTTATCATTCCTTTAACTTACTTATTTTAGCTTTTGATCGTAGTTATTTATCCTTTTCTTCAACTAAAAGTCTTAGTATAGGATTCACCAAAAGAATTAGTGTGCCAATCTCCTGCAGGTAAGTTCATAAAGAACCTGAAAGAAGCCTTTAGGTTCCTCCTTTGGCAGCTTCAAGAGGCTTGCAACTCTAGAAAATGCTGCATGCTGTCTAGCATACAAATCATCTTCAATGGCTTCACATTTTATCTCTGGTTTTAAGAGCTTGGGCCTTGTCAAGGCCCATTGCATGGCCCATATGGCCAAGGGACGCATGTAGCAAAGAGATCTGTATTTGTCATCAACACCCCAAGCTTCCGGAGTCTGAAATGAATATCTGCAACCAAACCCAAGTTACACAACAATTACACGAGTGTAGGAAAATCACAAAGTGAGTTTCTAGCACTGTTCCTAAGTACAGATTTTGATAATTTAGTGCTCATCTTTTTTCCTTGGTCATCATTTAAAAAAAAAAAAATCAAATTCTATGAAATTTACATATAAACACAAAAAATATGCATTATCATTAAGTATGTGCTCTCTAAGTAAGTATGCGTGGCCTGTTAGTTTGTCGATTCTCTCAAAAGCTTAAACTGTTAAGAGGTAGACAAGCAATAGTTTTATATTCTAACAATACCTACCATGCAGAAATCCTAGTACTTTTAATTGAAAAAAGGAAAACTAAACTAACCCGAGGCCTTGTTGAGACCAGGCTGCTTCATGAACACCAGATGCAGTATGAAATGCCATATCAAGCATTCCCTCTTGAATCATTGTGGCAGCAAGAGAATATGTTACTCCAGCCCATATCTCCTTTGCTTGCATAGCCGATTGATCAAGTCTTCCATTGGGAGACATTCCGTTCACTGCTCCACGTGAACCACTCTTCACTTTTAGTACATTGAAATTGTAAATTTTCTCTAGTGCACTCCTCTCTTTTTCTTCATCAACAATTGGAGAAAGACCGCATGCTTTGGCATACCTACAAAGTACGTGACCGGATATGAAAAGGGTCCCAAAATTTGTCCTCAATCATGATGTACTTTAGACTTGCTGAGAGAAAGGGGTTCCATCTTAAATGGTCTAACATGTTTATATACATGAATGATGTGAGACATAGATTTACTTTACCCTTTACATGCTCCTAAGAAGATGCTCTTTTAGAGTCATGAATCTTGTAATGGATGGACTAGCAAAAATGTTGTATTGGATAGATCGGGCCATTTTTTTTGAGCTTGTTGATCTTTGATACTACATAATAGACTTTAGACTCTCGGCTTGGGGTTTCATCTTAAAAAGTCAATCTGTTGGTGGGTTGACCCAATGTTCTTATAAGTTTATGTTTATTAATGTATTTAAATGATATAAGACTTGGGTTTATTTTTATCATTTTCAAATTATTTATGTTCACCTTTTATCGAAGATTGTAAAAGTAATGAGTGGTATACATACTCACCATTGTCCAGCCAATTGATCAGACTGAATAGATGCACTTGACTTGGTACCACTATTGTCATAATTGAAGTAGGAACCATTCCATAAGGTGTCATACACAGCTCTTGCCTTCTGATATCTGATCCAAAAGTAATTTTCCGATGAAGTGTCACCAGTAATCTGTGCCATGGCTGAAGCAGCCTGAAGAGCTGCCACCCAAAGGCCACCACAGTAAGCACTCACACCGGTGACAGACCAAGTATCATAAGTCTGATCAGGAAACCCTTCATTCTCAATCATTCCATCTCCATCCTTGTCAAATTGTTCCATGAAAGCCATCGCCAGGTAAACCGAGGGCCAAACTGCTTTTGCGAAACTCTTATCACCAGTAAAAACCACGTCCCTGTAGACTTGGAGAACAAATTTGGAATTCAAGTCTTTCCAACTGTCTGAGTTGTACAGACAGTAAGCGTTCACTTCAAACCAAGGGTCACTAAGTCCTATGTCGTGAGGAACGGCACCAAGGACGTTTCTCGGGGCCCTTGTGCCATCACACATGAGCTTCCTCTTGCTAGGATCATGCATCAACACTGCTGCTGCAAAGTCTCTTTGGATGCTGAGCTCAAGTTTTGGGAACAGCATGAGTAACGCAAAGGATGAGTAGAAATGGACATCATAAGTGTTCCACATGGTGTATTCCAGTCCTTCAAGATAAAGAAATTGCCCAATGTTTTCTTCTCCATCTTGGAGAAGAATTGTTCCCATGGCGGAATTCGCCACTGCCGGGGCATATACTTGCTCAAGTGCGGACGTCATCCTTTCAAGGATTTCAACAGCTGTGTCATTTTGATGGGGAATATTATCAATGCCATCGTTGAAACTTTGTCTGGACCTTTGAAGAGCGAATTTTGAATTGCCTACTGTTGACAAGCTTTGTGATGCAGGTAATCCATCTGCAAAAGAGAAAAGTAGACCATTAGTAAATAGAACTAAACAGATATTGATTCATTCATTTAAAACAGGAGTTGAAACTCCTTGAGATATACCTGTCCAGATCGTCCCTCCCGCATTTAGATAATAGAGCTCATTGAAGAGAGTGATTGGGTACCTGAGGAGAAAACTTTCTCAGTTTAAACAGAAACCTTCAAACACTCAATCCACTTTCTTTTCTATGAGATTCATGTAATCTTACCATTCAGGAAGAGCTTTGTCTTCAAGAATTGGTCTTTGCCATGCGTCTATCTGGGATTCCCACTTGCCATTTTCTGTGTTAAAGCAAAAGATCATAAATTTTTTCTAGTTAATAGAATGCAGCTCTCTGATTTTGTTTTTTTGTTTTTTTAAAAAAAAAACAAATATAGCACTCTCAAGGCCTCAGAAAAACAAGCTTTTGGAAGTTAACAACAAAACAATAACAAATTTTTTCTATTCAACTTCTCTGACTGACCATTTTTAAAACGAAAGGTCAGCCTGGCTTCCTAGGCTTCATTTAAATCAATAAAATCACATGATATATACTGAAACCAATGTAATAAAGTTAGTATAAGCACTACCAAGGATGGCGTCACATGCAATCCTGGCCGCGGCATCTCCACGAGAACCATAAAATTTTGTGTAACGCCTGCAATTTTGACACAAGTTTCTTGTTAGTACAATTTTTATATACTCAAGTAATTGGATTCTTCATTTAGAATGAAGAAGTATTTAGAGCAACTGGGTTATCAACCTATGATAAGTTTTCCCGCCAAATCTCAACTCTGGGCAGTCCCATGCGAGTGAGAATGTGACGGTACGTACAGAATCAGAGGGGATGGTCAAAGTGGCTGCTATGGCTGCTCCAATTGATGACCCTGGTTTTGAAGGCTTCGAAGTCTCATCACACGCCATATGGTCAAACGATCCATACTAAAAGAAAATTAAAGAATATTAATCATGATTCTGTGAATAACCTATAGTTTCCCACCTTCAACAAAATCTTTCCATGATAAACATTATGTCAAAAGTTCAGGGAAGCTACATGAAAATTATGTTGAAATTCAGTATATAGATTGTGACAAGGATGAAGCTAATGTAAGAGAGTTGGGCTAACTTTTTTGATTTGGTGCCACATATCTTCTGCTGTGATACCCTGGAAATCGCCGGATATTAAGAAGCAAGGACACTTGGAGACATGGACATCAGCAGTTTCTTCTGCTGCAATGGCATAAGTAACTGGAGGGTGTCCATTTGCGGTTCTGAAAAATCATAAATAAATTCCCTTCAGTTTAAGGTTAACAGATTGCCTATCACCAACTTTCAAGTGAGAAGAAAAGGACATCAGTATTCTTTCTTGCATCAAGAGAGAACTTACTTGTGATGTAAAAGTACTCCATGCACCCCATCTTCTGTCCTGGTAGGAATTAAGCATTGTTGAAAAATATTTAATCTTTTTAGCTTAAAAAAAGATAAAACAGCATCAAGATTTAGTTTTAATCGTCTTTTAAACATTGATTCTGATTTGTACTTGAACAAAGCTACTTAATTATATACTTCAATTATACAAAGTCCAGTAACAAGCCCTTACTTCATTGTTGAGTTGAAGTGGCCACCAGAAACTCCAGAACTCCCACCAACAGAATTCTGTACAGTCAGAAACATGGAACATAAAAATCAAGGTTCTTGATTTTGCCCTAGACTTCAATTTTTTTGAATCAAAACATGGAACATCAAAATTGCAAATGGGAAAATCAAAACCAAGATTCAAAGGAACATGTCCCACAAAACGTTTTTGTTTACTTACAGCCCAAGTAAACAGCAAGGTGACATCTGCAGACGTTCTTCCTTTATTTGTTATCTGAAAACATACATAGACCAAACACTTAGGACAAGGAAACATGAAGTTGCCAATGCGGAGCCACTCAAGTTTTAGAATTTCGATTTTTAACCTTAAAATATATCAAAAATTTTAGTGGTTATCCCGTTTTATAGAAAAAATTACAACTGTGCACCCTCTCAATAATTAAAATATATAACCAATATATCCATTTAAAAAAAATGTCTAATTCTATGTCACGTTTTGTCTAATCCGACCGTGAAGGTAAAAGCAGATGCCGGGAAACTGCTATCTTTGTAGTTGTGGGGAATAAATGGCGAAATTTGACGCGAAACAATGACAATTTCCGGGTCAGGTTCACCTGCATTTGAGAATCTCTCAAAGGATAAGAAACTGCCAACAATTAAAAGTTGATGCTAACTTTGTGAATCAAGGCCAATACCATCATAGGTTGTCCAAGCCCTTGGAAATAGCCCATCGTATGTACACTTTTCTGCATTCAAATTCCAATCCCAAGATCCAATGCCAGAAGTTGTAGCTTCTCTGGATTTATTTCAGAAAATTAAATTTTGTCAATGCTTCATGGATTTAATTTACACAATTATTTTTAGAGAGACCAAAAATAATTAATTAAGTGACGGACACTATGACTCACTTGGCTAGCTCTGGGTTCTTGGCACATAATACAGTTGAATGTTTCTCACCATTGGGCCGTGAAACAAAAACCTGTGAACAAATGGAAATCAAGTTTTGGAAAAAATTATGTCAAATTGGTTTTAACTTAATCTTTTCTTCCAAAAAAAAAAAAAATGTAGCAAAGATACATATCATGAATACACATGTAAAAAAATCTGAATTTTCTTTAGAATTGAAATGGCTATTTTGTCATACTTTCTTTTGCCCTTTGACAATTTATCTTGTTTTATGATGTGTTATGAAACTTTTTTTTCACGATGTATATCATTTATATATATATATATATATATGTATATATATATGTGTGTGTGTATATATATATATATATATATGTATATATATATGTGTGTGTGTATATATATATATATATATATGTATATTTCATCTGACCGGATATATTTCAGCTTTAAAACAACTTAGAAGAGCTCACGGAAAACTGATTTGCAAGAACTGGGACATCTTCACATGTTACAGGAAATAGTTGGAAACGCTGAAACTCGCCCCTGTAACTTCTTCCAATGCTTCCTGCACTAAGGTTCATGTGCATGGCAAATATCTATAATCTATATGTGGCAGAAATTCACCAACAAAATACAGTTGATGTCAGAAAAAATAAACAAATAAATAAAGTACATACCCAATACCACCTAAAGGAATGCTATGATTGCCTGTGACAAACCGCTTCTTGAAAACATCGATTACTATCTGCAAAATTTGAAGCACAAGGAGTTGTAGTGGAAAATAGAACTTAATGCAGAATTCTTAGTCACAAAATTAAGAAAGGATACATAATTTAAAGTGAGTTGAAGTGAGATAATTATTACTTTCCCTTCAGCTGCTTCTTGTTTGAATTGTCTCCACAACCGAAAGCCCATTGGAGCCTTTCAGAGAATCACATAAACAAGAAATTAACACTAGTTATAACATATATATTTGGATTATTACAGAAAAGGGAAACAAAGGAGGAAAAAGAAAAAAGAAAAACACAGAACATGCGAGATTTATAATGAAGTAATATGTGTGTATATATAATGTTTACACTTCATTGACATACCAAATGCATTACGTCTTGGAAAGTAACAGAGAGCTCGGAAGGTACTTTTCCAGCACAATCCAATTTCCGTTGCCAAGTCAGGGAAGCAGGTTTTCCAGGATCAACCTAATATATTTATATTAATGATAACAAAAAAAAAGAGTTACTAAGAGAAATTCCGTAACTAACATAATCAGTTGAATGAAATATAGAGGAAGAAATGCACATATCTCAATTGGAATATATATAGATATTTCATTAATATGCGAAAAATCAGATGAATAGTAATAATAATGAATGTACCTTGTGCAGAGAAAAATGAGAAGAGAACTCGTTTTCAGCTTCTCTGTCATTTTCCATCTTGCCTAAGAAACGACATAGAAAAGCGGTGATATTAATGCAAGAGAAGCAAATTATTTGAGCACAAGAAAGTTTTTTTTTTTTTTTTTTTTTTTAAAAAAAGGAAGAAATTGTACTGCAGAAGAAACATTGTTTCACAAATTTTTATGAGATAAAAACATGTTGAATTATGATTCCAACTAACGGGTTCATCATTTTGTATGCCATCGGCATTTTATCATTGAAGATAGCGTACACCCTTGTCTTTATTGGAAATATTTTGCCAAAAACGATCAAGATTTCGACATGTGGCACTGGAAATTCATGGCCCACCTGGGATTTTGCTCAAATTTTGCTGTCAAACAAGCAACTTAACAGAACTCCAACGAAAATATTCTTCTTTTTTTTGGCTTAAACTCAATTCCAAAACAGGAAAATATTTCCAGGAATTATTTTTCTGTCGAAACAAACAGAGTCCAAAAGAAAGGAACAATCCCCACATGATCAGCCGCCGAAATATGAACCGATCATTAGCACAAGTCAACGCTAATTTTTCAAATCATAACTTGAATTAATCCCGTATTTGAAAAACAAAAACCAATTAACAGAAAGCCAGAAAACTAAGAATTAAACTAGCTCTCTTATAAGAATACTTCAGAATCATTTATGGCTCGTTAAATCTGTGGTTTTGATTCTGCTAAGTGTTTTTCTCATATAAAAAATTTAAATTTCAAATACCAACATAAAAAATACTGGTTTATGAACCAAAAGGACCTTAGTTGGAAAGAAAAAAAAAACTTTTGAATGCCTACCTGCAAAACGAATCTCCTTTGGCAGAGAGAGAGAGACGGGCGTATTACTGAAAGTGAAATGGGGAGTACTTGAAAAGATATCGGATTATAAATGGGGGCTTTATTCTACACATATATACATACATATAATATAATATATATATATATATATATATATATACACACACACACGTATACTTTGGCAGTATCAGATTGAAAAGTAGAGAAGAATAAGTTGAGATATTGCCGAAGCAATATATATATATATATATTCGACTGAAGAAAACGTGGAGGTGGGTAGGAAAAAGGTTGTTTGGTGGAGTCCTCGACAGATCGAATACGGATAAAATTAAAGACAGCGTGAAGGATTTCTAATTCAAAAAGTCAAGTTCATTTTTTTTTAGATGTGAAATCTAACATGGTTAATAATTAACACACGATTGTGAATTTCATTTAATAATAACTACAAGAAGAACCACGTTTTTGACTTTTCACATGTACAAATCCCAGTCAAGGAGGGATTATGGTTTTCTAGAATATGCAATTACAGCCTTTTTTTTTTTTTTTTTGGATAGGTAAGCACCTTGAAATTGGGGGGCGCCCGGGGCTTGATGTTCTGTAAATAGAAGTCTTGGAGAATATCAGAACATCTTGTCTTTTGATGTCTTTATAATCTTATATTCTATATATCATTCTACTTTGGCGGCCAACTATGCATTGTGTTGTGTCTTGTTTCCGCATAAAATACTAAAAATAATTGGGCCGCGTTCTCGTGCTTCGCCCCAAAAAAAAAAAAAAAAAAAAAAAAAAAAGAATAAAAGATATTTAGAGCCATTTCTCAACTTATAACAAGAGAGTTGGTAGGAAAAAAAAAACAGAGAGAGAGAGAGAGGGAGAGATTTAGAGCCATTATTGTTACACCAAAGCTTCTTAAGTAAATAATTACATTCTATGGGATACCTCAAATTCCGGGTTGAGTTTGGTACCTTAAACTCAATATTTTAACCTCAATACCTACGTCTCAGGACTTATTCTTTTGAGTGAAAAACTCAAAAAAAGATAACTCGAATTATAATTTTATTCGAGTTTATGTTCTTTTAAGTTTGAACTCGAGTTCAAACTCGAGTTTGAGACTAAAACTCGAGTTCAAGTTTCCCTTTCAACTCGAGTTCAGAAACTCGAACTCAAATTAATGAACAATGTTTTTTCTATTCTTAAAAATACTATAGCTTTTTCGTTTTAATTCTGATTGAGATGATTTTTTTTTCTATGCGTTGATAACGAAAAGACGAATAAAACTCCACCCATATACCCTATTAAAATTTTCCATCAATATTGAGTTTTTATTAAAATACTGTCTAAATACAAATTCAAGTTTTGACTCACTCAAACATAAACTCAAAAAGATTCTTATCTCAAACCATAACTCAAATGTACACAACCAAACACAAACTCAAATTATAACTTCAACTCAAATTATAACTCAAGAATTATACTCAAGTTAAACTCTAAGAACAAGCCCTTAATACCTCGAGCTCAATGCTTTAAGTTTAATACCTTAAGCCGACCTCAATAACTCAGTCTTAATGCCACAGCCTCAGCCCTCAGGCTCAAACCCATAATACTTTAACCTCAATAATTAAGAATCATAATTCAATACAATCCTTAAAATAAATATTCTATTAGTCATTCAGTTAGAATCTTCTTGAGAGTTTGTGAGAAATCTGAGTCTGTATTTAAAAGATAATCAATAATACTCGTATTTTCTTCTTTCCATCTTTCTTGTATATAAGTTACTTTCTTCTCATTTTCTTTTTGCTTTGATCCGTTTCTACCAAAGGTTTTTAGTTGCCGGCGAAATTTCATAGTCAACAACTATATTAAATAATAAGCAAATTTGTTGAAAATTAAAGCATTACAACTTCGAATATAACATAAGTTATAACGGTGCGATTCACATGCTATTATAGTATATTCATATTATTTTAACACCTTATAAATGGACTGGATATACATGTGAGCTGGCGGACTCGTAAGCACAAATTAAAGCCAAAATTTAGTACAAATTCCCATTAAGGAAGTGTTGCTTTCCTTTATTATATCATCACAACAGGTTAATTCATGATCAAATATATTTCTTTTGCCCTACTTTTGATGCGTGGTCGAAGAATGGTATATTAGAATTTCAGTTTTAAGCCTTGACGAGGAAATAGGATATATTGATCACCGTGGTCCTCAGCTGAAAAATTGCTTTTTCAACCGTATTTTGTTTTGGATGTTATGATATCATATAACTTCATACATTAACGCGCTGTGTACTTGTGTTTCACAAAAGTTTCTAAAACTTTGTTCACTTCGGAGATTAAAGTTTTAAATTTGAGTTAAAATATGATATTTTTTTATAGTTTTTTACTGTAACAAAAAAAGTTACATGTGACATTTTATGAGAACTTTTTACTATAAAAACTTAAAATTAAAAACTCAAATCGGTGAAATGAATGAGGCATTTGTGATGACATACATTTTAACAAACACACAGCGTAATCATGACTTAGACAACAAAACCAATTTTTTATGACTTAGACACACAGCATAATCTTTACGATTCTTTATATAATCTATCTATACGTAGTATCCGTTTGGAAGAGTTGTTATTTTACTTCTGAGGAATAGAAAAATAGATGCATAAGTTGAGACTCTTTAATTAATCTCAGACAATACATGAAAATAACTTTTTTATTTTAGAAGAGTTTTTGAACATATTTAGTAAATAAATCAAAAGTTTTTATTGTTATAAAAATGTAAACAAAGATATAGATGAAAATTTTAATTTATTATTCACAAATAAAAAGTAAAAAAATAAATAAAAAAGTTTTTCATAAACTATTTTTTAACAAGTATTTTGGAGGTGACTTGTCCTAAAACAATTCATAAAAGTTAAAAGCACTTTTAAGATGATTTTAAAATGCGATTTTTTCCTTACTTTATTCTAATTAACATTATAATTTATTTCATATGTACCATGTATGTTTTTTCTTCCTTTTATATTTTCGTTTTGCAGTAATCAATTTTTAATGTACTTCTTTCAAATTATTTTTTTTTTCAGTGTTCTCGTTGAAATATATTTTTTCATATGTGTATTTATTTAATTGTTTCCTATGTAATCATTATTATTTTGATGACAATACTTATAAAGATGTTTGTGTTAATTGTGTATTAACTAATTAACTAACTAACTAAAAACTTTATTATTAAATAAATTAATTAAAATAATAACACACTAATCAAAACTTAATACACAGATTACTCACCACGTGGAGTTCAACTAGTAAAAGTAGGGAGATTCTCAAGTACGCCTAGCGTATCAGTAAATTAAGTTTTTCTAACTGTTAGATCTGCATACTTTTTAATTTTTACGTGATTTTATACAGATTTAATAGATAAAAAACCTAGCATACTAATATGTTAGCGTGTACCTGAGAATGTCCGGTAAAAGTAAGGCACTATGACTTTTGAGTAGACAATACAACATTTATAACTTTTTTCTTTAGGAGATTTTTTAGTACGCCTAGCATACTGATATGTCAGATTTTTTTAACTGCTAAATCTACATACTTTTTAACTTTTATATGATTTTATATATATCTGACAGATAAAAAACTTGGCCATATCTTTCTTTTTGGTGAATAAGCATTTTTTTTTGTTAATAGTGAATAAGCATTTATAGCAAAGAAGAAACAACGTTCAGAAGATTAATAGCCCGATGAATTGATGGCGTATTTTCTCATTGATTATAATCGTGTGTGCATATTTATGTATGTACGTGTATATATATATATATTAAGGCACAGCTAGCAATTTTCTGCCAATGGCAGCTAATGAGAATAAAAAACGTTAATTACAATTAAGAATAGAATAATTATAAAAAAATGAATAGAATAGCAAATGATATGATACTAATATAATTTTATGTCTTGACACAACACCTAACTTTTAACCTTATAGGATTATGGTTGCGTTTGGTATTATTTTTTGCTCTTAAAATCAACTTCACCATATAGCAAAAGTTGATTTTAGTGTTTAATAAATATTTTTAAAAGTGTTTTTTAAAGAATTTTTGAAGAATTTATAGCTAAAATAAAAAACAGTCCAAAAATAACTTTAGCTTTTAGATTATGCAAGAATTAACATAGTACAATTAATAAAATTTTCATAATACCTATAATACCCCTAATAAAATTTAAAATTTACAATCTTTCAGTTTAAAATTCAAACTCGTAATATAATATAATATAATATAATAATAATAAAATGTAATAGTAATATTGTAACAAATAATATCATAATTATATTAATAATTATAATATTATTATTTTATGAGATAACATGTTATTATAATATTATTATAAGTATTTTAATAATATGATATTAAAATTATAATATAATTATAATATGATATTATAATTATTATTTTATAATTATATTATATATTATATTATATTGATATAATTATATTTATTATATTAATAATAATATAATAATTAAATATTAATATAATTTTATAATTCTAATATTATTATCTATTATAGTGTATTACACACGTTATGGTTATATAATATATTTATTTAATATAATATAATAATGATTATATATTATAATATAATATAATATAGTTGTGATTTTTAATTATATTATAATTAAAATATTATTATTTCTTATGTAATATTATAATATATTTTAATGTTAACACAACAAATAACATTATATTAGAAAGTGTTTTTTATATTGAAATATTAAATTTATCACTGGCTCATTAATTATAACACTACATTAGAGTGCTCTTAGATATTTTTATTTTTGTGAAAGGAGATAAATGCTCTTAAAATGAATGAGTTAAGATTTTTACTCATTATTTTTGATTAATAATTATTTATTTTTATATCACTTGTAAGGGAAAATTAAAAAAAATAAAATAAAAACTTCCTACAAATGATGAACTGCAACTTCAAACTCAAACGACATATCGCTTTGATCAAAGTTTTTTTTTTTCTTTTTGGTAAATATACAACTGCAAACTTAACTAGTAACAAATTTCATATACCGTTTTTTGCATCACCTAGCGGCAAATATCAGAATCTCACAGACGAGCAGAGCTGCGAAATACGATCCAGTGAGCTGAAAAAACCAAATCCCAGGCCAGCCAACTCAATAATTGACCCAACCCGCGAAACACAATAGGCAATCTTCACAAATACCTTGTAAAATTGTATAGATCATTGGGCCTCCTTCGTTTTATTGCGCTCTATTCTTTTCTATTCGAATTTAGAATTTAAATTTTACTATATTAAAAAATTTTTAAAAAAAATCACATCTAATTTTTTTATTATGATAAAAAACTCTTATTAAACATCATATCTCAACTCAAATTAAAAACTCAAATTAGTAAACCGAATGGGACAATGTCACATTTAATTTTTTTATTACAATAAAAATCTATAAAAAAATGTCACATCTCAACTCAAATTAAAAATTTAAATTCACCAAATAAACGAGCCAAAATTTTTACTTTTTCTCTTAATTCATAATTTTTTAGTTAAATAATTGTATCCTTAAATTCTTCCCTTCCTCATTCTTCTTTCTATATCCAGTTTCTAACTTTCTCGCCCAAACAAACAAGAACCAAGTCATTTTCCTCCCGAGAAACCGAGGGAAAATGAGAGCCTCCACTTTCTTTCAGAAACTATGGAGGAGAAGAATACAATCGCCGAGCTCTATTTCACTGTCCAAGTCCTTTTGTACCGATAACGGCGATGGTCTCCAGAGCTCCAGGGTGAAGATCTTCGACCGCCATCTCAAACGCAAACAGGTTTAAAAATCCCCCTCTCTTTCAGAGTCTCGCGAAGCTTCTCTTTTTGGTCCGTTTAACGACATTCTTCTTTCGTATAAATCTTTGGTGTTTTGCAAACTGGAATTTTGGTTGAAATTGCATATTAGTTGTCTAAGATTGATGGCTTAGTAATGACAGCGTGACCGAGCCGCCTGGTTGATGCGTCCAAAAGACTCCTTTGTGGATGCTGTGGCTGAGAATGTATTAGATCGTCTAGAGGTAGTGTAAAGCTTCGCTTTTGGCTTTTGGAGTCGTCTCTAATGCAATGCTATACTGAGTGCGAAATTTGGCATTTGGTTGTTTATCGATTGGTCTATTTAATTTTTCACTTCGTAATTACATTACAGTCATTTTCAAATTATTTCAAAAATTAAAAATTTTCCTCTTTGAGTATCTCAATTGGAGTGCCAAATTAGTGTCCCAATGCCCTATTTTAACACAATGTCGTCTTGTGTTAAATTTGACATAGCATCAAGGATAGGAAATGCTAAATTTTGGCATTCGAGCACTATTTATTGATGTATTGATCTTTTCACTTAATCATTACAACATTTTCTTTTTCAAATTATTTGAAAATTAAAAGTGTAATTTTACATGTTTCAAAGCTTAATAATTATGACAAAAATTAGTATTGCATTTGAAATAGCATTATGCATTGGGGCACAAAATAAATAGTATTTCAGATATGCTGCTTTCTCACTTTTGGTGCTAAATATGACATCCACGTTGGAGATGGTCTAACAAATTTCGAAGTTTAAAATTTATGACAAAAAATAGATATACAATTTAGAATAGTATTATCCATTAAAGCACAAAATAAAAGCATATCGAATATGCTACTTTTCACTTCTTTTTTTGCCAGATAAAGCATTAGTATTAACATTTGCATTGGAGAAGGTCTTAGATCGATGTGTTTACCTTTTGCAGGACTGCAGAAAGTCATTTCCTACTGCATTATGCCTAGGGGGTTCAGTAGAACCCATCAGGCGTTTGTTACGTGGTCGTGGTGCGAAAATTACCTTTACACAGTTCTTCTGTATTCAATAATTAAAAATCTGAGTTAACTTGTTTAAGGAGAATTATCTTCTATAATACACACAATGATCCAGATGTTTTTTGTTGCTATAGGAGGCATCGAGAAGCTTATTATGATGGATACATCATATGACATGTTAAAAGTGTGTAAAGATGCTGAGATTGATAGAAGGGATAAAGGGATCGAAACCTCCTTTGTTGTTGGTGATGAGGAATTTTTGCCTGTTAAAGAAAGGTAGGTTTGGAATTTTTTATTGCTTGTTTCTGTGAAATGCATTCCTTTGAGGGAGTGTTGATTTTCTTTGTAAATCCTCTAATTTTATGTGTTAAAAAGTTCTCTAGATCTGATAATAAGTTGCTTGGGCCTCCATTGGACTAATGATCTCCCTGGAGCAATGATACAGGTATCAAACCTTTTTTTCTTTCTTTTTCTTTTTAAATGTTATGATTTCAGGTATTGAAATCAGTTTTAAATTTTAAGATTGGATGCCTCAAGTCTAGGCTCTAGGGAAGGCAACATGTGTTGCGAATGCATTTTAAATCTTGGACGCAAAATAAATGATCAATGGCAACGTCCATAACGTATGTTTATATTTTACAGAGTAGATTGGCATTGAAGCCTGATGGCCTGTTTTTAGCAGCTATTCTTGGTGGAGAAACCTTAAAGTTGTGCATTCTTTACTACTTAATTGATCACTTACCTGTTTCTGTAATGTTTAAATTAGCACAAATGCATGAAGTGCCTTATTTGATTTCTAGATTTGCTTATCTCTGTGGCTAGGGAGCTGAGAATTGCTTGCACAGTAGCACAAATGGAGCGTGAAGGGGGCATCAGCCCGCGAGTATCACCTTTGGCACAGGTACTTACACAGCTTGTTATTCCTTTTCATTATTTGGGTCATCTTTATGGTTGCAGTTATATTGTGTTCTGTAACTTGGGTAAACTTATATTTCCCATTTTTCTCATTTGAGCGACGGGAACACATACTCGTTTCGACTACTTTGGCATGTTGTTAATACTTGGTGTTTGGCTATTGATTCCAGTATATTGTTATTTTTGTCAAGGTGCGAGATGCAGGAAACCTTTTGACCAGGGCAGGCTTTACCCTTCCAGGTGTTGATGTTGACGAATATGTGGTTAAATATCAAAGTGGTAAGCGTTCCGTATCTCTGGGATTCACTCATATATGTACTAGCTCAAATATATATGTATTTGTCAGGTAAATGCTTTTTCGTTCAACTTGTCGCGTGAGTAGAACATACATTCTTGCTGTCTTATTTCAAGAGGTGGAGGTGTGGAGAAGGGACTTCAAATTGTCAACCACCTTTTTGTTATTTTGTCGTCTAAATTCTTAATGTACTTCTCTGGTTGTTGTAGCTTTGGAGCTAATAGAACATCTGCGTGCAATGGGTGAAACTAATGCTCTTCTACAAAGAAACAAGGTTGAATTCATATATTTGAGATATCACTTGCTAGTCCTCCAATTACTATGAGTTTTATCTTCTTTTAGCCAAAACATGGGCTAGTAGTACCATTTGAAAAAGTTGAATTAAAAAACTGATGGGTTCATGGATTAAATCAGATCCTAAAAAGAGAAACATCCCTGGCAACTGCAGCTATCTATGATTCGATGTTCGGTGCAGAAGATGGTACAATACCAGCCACTTTCCAGGTGGGTGTAATGGAGCTCCTTCAAAATAATATCTTTACAGAAATATGATGTTTGCTTGTATGAGCCGAGCACTAAACTAAGGTGGAACATTTCCATCATTGTTTTCTCGTGGTTTTGTAGGTTATTTACATGACAGGGTGGAAGGAGCATCCATCTCAACAGAAGGCCAAAAGGAGAGGTTCTGCCACCATATCCTTTAATGACATTCAGGAGCAGTTTGGTAGTGGAAGTTGATTTGTTTGTGTTTATTTGTATGTGCAGATTTCAAATGGCTTTTACTTTTTTAAATCAAAGTGAATAATTCCATCAGGTAGTGCAAAATCTGTGCACTTGGTCAATAGTTGTTCCCAAAACCTTTTTGTCCCTTTTTTCTAAAGAAAAAAATTTCCCAACTGAAGAAAACCATGGTTTTTATTCTTTGTAGATTGCATTTCTTTTAATTATTGATTCCAAGTGCCCTTTTTCTTCGTGGGTATTAATTCCTTAGGATTATGGACATATGTTTAGCAGCCGTGTAGACAATAGGGGATGATCTACGATGGCTGATTAAAACAAAAAAAGTTAAGTGAAAATGATATACAGTTTAGGGTATGTTTGGTTTGAGGGAGAGATGGAGGGAGGGAGACGGTGAATTCCTTGTTTAGTAAGAATGAGAAGAGAAAGGAGAAGAGATATGGAGGGAGAGAGTCTCTTTAAACCTAATATTTTAGATCCTTCTATCAATAAAAAGATTTAATTAATCTACTCAAATTAAATAAAATTACTTTTCTACCTTTCAAAATAAATTATTAAAAATAATAAAATAGATAATATAATAATTAAAAAAATAATGACTATTTATTCTTTCTAACTCGTCCTCCATCTAATCAAGCAACATGAATAATTAATATAATACTCTCCATTCTTTACGCTCTTTATTCTTCTACTTCTCTTTATCTTTTCTACTCTTCATCCTTTTGACCAACCAAACGGAGCCTTACAGTAAATGAATAATGGGGGCTAAGTCTAAATCCATCTGTCAATAGAATAGGCTTTGGAATTTGGATAGACTTGTAAGCTTTCAATTTTCAACCAAAGTAATTGTTTTTCAGCATTATACACTGCATTCTGCTTCAATTCTTCCCATATGGAAGTTGCATGAATTTTCAGAAGTCAACTCCCCTAACAATTTCATTTTGATACCTGTGACATATTAAAATATGAGTTTAAATTTTGATACTTGTGTTATATGAAAATATGAGTTTAGTACCGTGTATTTATGGTTAACTAATTAAAAAGGTATTTTAAACATTGCACATCCCAAAAATCAGATTAAAAGTATTAATTTTTTTTTTAAATGTCAAGATACCCACATAAAATTATAAAAAAAATACATGATATTAAATGCATATTTTAATTCAATATAACACATGGTATGAAAATGAAAATTTTCTAATGATTAATTAAAAGAGAAATGATAGAAAAATTACTCAACCTTTTTTAAAATGCTAGATTTTAGTCGTCATAACGCTGTAGACGCATCCCCTTGAGTCATTTATTTCATGCTTTATTTCCATTTTTATTTTGGAAATAAATAATAAGACACCTATCAAAATCAATCACACCAAATAGTGCAATTTATGAAGTTAGATGAAATCATAAACATATGTTATATTCATGCAAAAAAATCAGACTAAAATTAAAATAGTTTAAAAACATCCCTAGTACCTTCAAAAAAAAAAAACCCTAGTAACAGAGTATGGAATCAAATCATTTGTCTAATTTTAGTGTTATAAACAGTGTCTAATTGACTACATTATACCACGTCAATAAAAAATATTTTGAAATGCTTTTTTCATGCCTTAGTATTTGACTTCATTTAATGACCATGTCACTAAAAAGCTTTGAGTTTTTTTTTTATTCTTTAATACTTGAGTTTATTTAATGGTGTGACATATATGATTATTTAAACATTATTTGAGACACAAAAACTAACAAGTGATTCAAATCCATAGGGTACACACTATCAAACTCATATTAGAATTTATCTTTTAACAAAGTTTATGACATAAATTAGGAAATAAAATTAGAGTTAATTACATATATATACATTATGCAATAGATAAAAAAAAATGTCCACAAATTGTGATATTTGTCCATGAGTCTGTAAAATAATCCATAATAATATTTTGATCCTTCATTGACTACCCCTAAAATCAGTTATGCAAATTTATAACCGCCCACATGAAAATAGGTATATCTGAAATAATATTATCTTAACAACTATAAAAAAGACAAATTAAAAATATTATTAAATTAAAGACAACTGATTATTTTGTGTAAATACTTCATATGATTAATAATATGAGAAATTTTTTAGTACGTCTGATATATTAGTGGATTATGTTTTTTTAATCATTAAATCTGTATACTTTTTAAATTTTACGTGATTTTATATAAATCTAACGGATGAAAAACTTGATCTATTAATATATTATTATTTTTTAATAATATTATAATTAAAAAAACTTAAACTACGGATACGCGTAGCATATTAGAGTATCTTCTTAAACGTCAATAGAGAAAATAAAAAAAAGGGAAGCACCTGCGGCTTGAACATGATGCCAGATGCCTGAGCCCCCTTTGGGCTGAGGAACTATCAGGGCCCATTCTACACAGGGATATTTTCGTCTATCTGGTAGAAAAAGATTTTCCAGCTGAGCAAACTCGCAAAGTGCAAAACTTTCCCGGGAATCGATCGCCTAAAGAGAAGCCGAGTTCAGTTTGGTCTGTCATTTCCTCAAACGTTCATCATCATCATCATCATCATCGGAAGGAGATTTTTGGTGGAATCCGAAGAAGGAAGAGCCATGGATTCATCGACCCTCGCTTCGCTTCCCGAGGAGAGAGAAAGCACCGATCAGCCACAGCAGCAAGACCAATCTCTCTCTGCCTTTGCATCTCTTCCTCATCGCCCTCCGACGCAGTGAGTTAGCAACTTCCGTTTTGCTTTTGCCTTTTCTTGTCTTTTCTTTCCTTTCAGATGATCCTTTAAACTCGCTTTTCGAGTTCGAAAGATGTGCGAATCCTGAATTGTAGTGATAAAAATGGCTTTTTCCTACAATTTTTTGCTTTCGGACAATAAACCGAAATCATATTATAATCTAGTCTAGTATAGTATCAGTATGTGTGAGTTTGTTATTCGTTTGATGTAATTTTCCTGCAAAATTTCTGTAAGTTTTCTGACAAACATATTTTATATTTCACTAGGAATATCTTCGTAACTTTACTGGTTTAATGTAATTTTCCAAGAAAATTTGTGTAAGTAGTTTCCTCACGACCATGTTCATATATACTAAGAATGTTGTGTAACTTGTGGTGATATTTTTATTGTACTTGTCATTTGGATCAAAATTTAGATTTTCTTCATTGTTTTATTTGGATTGAGTACTGTTCAATGGCAGAACTTTGGGGCTTAATCAAGTAATAATCTTTATTCCAAAATGTTGTTATAGGACCTCTTTACAAAAATACTCACCTGTAGATTGGCTGGGTTACTTTGACCGAGAAGATGATATCTGCATTCCAGACTCCAACGATGTGAGTGTGATATTTCGACCCTTTAGCTACGCGTATCCGATTCCATTCTTTTGTGATTGTTTTTATTCTAATGTGCTTTATCATTTTAGGTATTTCATGTGTATATGGCAGGAAAAGAAGGGCCTGTTGTCTTTTGTCTGCATGGAGGTGGTTATTCTGGGTATGTTTGATAGTTATTCCGGCTGTTTTACTTCTGAACATTTTCTTCATGCTCCAATTTTTCCTGCCATTTATGAATTAATGAACACGATCACAATTAGGTTAACATTTGAAAGATGCAAAAAGCTATTCTTTCGATCTTCATGAAGGAGGTTGATTTGAAAGAGGATGTTTCTCTCTCTTCTTTTTTTTTTGTTTTTCCCCCCCCCCCCCCCCCCCCAAAAAAAAATGTCAACTACATAATTCTGCAAGTTTCATCTCAAGAGGCCCAGCCAATCATTAATTTTTTCCAACGACCGTGTCTTTCTCTTACAACATCTGCTCATATTTTTCCAGGCTGTTTAATATTAAATTATCTGTTTTGTACATGACAGAACCCATGCAAGCTTTTTTTCATATATTTTTCTTCAGTTTATACTAGTGGGAAAGTTTCAGGCTTCTAGGTTCCATGCTGACAATGGTAAATCACATGATTCATTTTGCCAGGCTCTCTTTTGCATTGTCAGCAAAAATAATAAAAGAAAAGGCTCGAGTAGTTGCCATGGACTTGCGAGGGCATGGAAAGTCAACCTCAGAAAACGATCTGGACCTTTCCATTGAGGTAAAGTTGTGTTTCTAAGAATATTCGTTGCCAGCATGTGTTCTCTCATTAGTTGCTTAACCTCAAAATGTGTGAAATATGATTTTTGAGTCCCTCTACACATCATGAAAGCGAGTTCACGAATCATAACACAAGACTTCATTTCCACTACTTCCACTTACGCCTGACCCACTACTTTGCCACTTGCACATGACTTGCCACTACTTCCGTCTAATTTGTGAATTTCGAGGAGGTTTTTTCTTTTCATTTTTGTTTGGGTGAATCATAGTATTTCTGAGTTCATATAGAAGTGATCATTTGGTCTTCTTTTCAGTGATCATTCAGTATTCTTTTTGTTTTATAAAGGGTAATACTTTTATGCAGACAATGTGCAATGATGTTGTGGCTGTTGTGAAAGCAATGTACGGAGATTCTCCTCCAGCAATCGTGCTTGTTGGTCACAGGTTGTGCTCATTTAATTGTTAAGTTTGTCCTCAATGTTTCTCACCTTTATCATAAATCTCTTTGGTAACTAAATGATCCCAGTTTATAAAGTGGGGCGTTTTTTTTTTTTTTTTTGAGACAGAAACCAAACTGTCAAATGTTTATTTTTCTTTTCATTTGAATTTTGGATACAAAATGCACAAGATATGCAGCAACTTTCAAATTCTTTTAAGGGCCTATGCTTGGATAAGACAATCACGTCATGTGCTTTAGACTTTAGTGCTAATGTAGGAAGCTTTTGGTCCTTGAATGAGTGGGATTAGCTATTTGCGTTATTTAGAGAAACATATAACAGTGTTTCACTTTCTTTGAGGATTTCTTGTGCCCCTCAACTTTTACTAAAAATAATTCTCTGGGTGCATATTACTGGCAGCATGGGAGGTTCAGTTGCTGTGCATGTTGCTGCAAGAAAAGCAATTCCTAGCTTGGCTGGGCTGGTTGTCGTTGATGTTGTAGAGGTTTGATTTTGAATCTAATTGTCCAATCATTGCCTTGTAAGTATTAACTTACTACAGGCGTCGGAACTATACTGACAGTTGCAATTATTTCAGGGAACAGCTTTGGCTTCATTAATTCATATGCAAAAAATTCTATCTAGCAGGATGCAGCATTTTTCAAGCATTGAAAAAGCAGTACGTACAATATCTTCTTCCCATCTTCTAACAAATATATGTCACTTCCATCGTATTTCGTTATTATTTCTATTTTAAACAGGACTTCTGATATATTTTTCCCATCTCCTACTCCCTCATTTGGCTTTGACAGCAAAATTGAACGAACTTTGAATTTGTAGGAATCAAATAAACAACAAAACAATTTATATGTGTTTATATATGAGGATGGCAGGGTGGTTCATATGATTTTTGCTGAATCTGGTGTTCTGCTGATTAGAAAACTTTATAAAGTGGCATAATTGCTCGATTACTCTAGAATATATTTAAATTGAGAGCTTATTGAAGAACACTGCTTTTTTTGTTTTCCTTGATTCAATTGGGAATAGAGGTGTCAAAAGGGCCGTGCCGGGCCGGCACGGCCCTTCTAACCCCAGGCCCGTCCGTGACGGGCCTGGGCCGTGCCTAGCACGGCCTTGCACAATTGAGGAGAAGCCCTCAGGCCCAGCACTGGCCCTCGGCCCTAGTCCATAAGAGTCAGGGCCGGGCCTGGGCTCAGGTCCTTCACGGGCTGGCCTTGGCCCTTTTATTTTTTTTTAATATTTAATAAAAAAAATTCCTATGCCCCCAAAAGATGTGATTTTATTGAATTAAGATAATGCGAATAAGTACACATAAATGACTGCCTCGTTAAAAACCCGTGGGGAGATCGGGACAAAATCTTAGTGAAGGAAAAAAGAGTGCAGTATTCTAGGATAAGTAAATTACAAAATCTAAGTGCTTCCAGATGATTCTGTTATGTAAGTTAGAAAAATATTTTTGAATTGAATCATCTGTATATTGTTGTTTTTGTCTTCTGGCATCTTCCTAGTCTTTAACGCACATTAGCCCCTCCGAGATATCCGGATACATTCTGCTTCTATTTTCGTCAAGAATTCGGTTGCTTACACTAAATGCTTACTACAATGCAATTGTTGACACTGGAGTTGTCAGAACGTCACGGGCTATTACGGAAAGTGTTAGAAAACGATCGGTCTTGCTTTTCCACCACTGTAAGATGTCCAGTTTGTCATCATCGATTATAAAATTTGATTCAAAATATTTAACCAATTCGGTAGACACTTGTGTTGATGACGATCCTGATGTTTTCTCTTTTTTCTTCAAGAAGCTCCACGATGAGCCTTTAGGCTCCGAACTGCTTGCTGGCGTCAATGTTCCATGTTCTTTTTGACCTGTTCCGTAATTTGCTTCATACAAATCAAATAATTTTTCTAACATTTTCCTAGCATCAGTAATAGTTAGTAGCATATCAATACATAAATTTTCTGTCGTAGTAGTCATTAAAGATTCGGTCTCATCTACTCCGCATCTAGGATCTAAAATGGTTGTTAATGCATATAATATAGGACACCGGACCAATAACTTTTAAATTTAGCTTCTATTAGCTTAACTATATTTCTAAAAAGTGAAGTATCCCTATAATAAAAAAATATTTCTGAAATATTAAATAGTTGGTACAAAGTTAATTATGCAGTAGGATAATAAACTCCGCAAAGTAATTCAGTAGCATTGTAGAAAACTTCTAAAAATTTAAAAAAGTACTCATCAATACTCCACTCTGTATCAAAAATTAAAATTTGATCGTTCTTACTGTTTACATACGTTGTGATGAACTGTTGATACGGGAGTGTTGCCTTCAACATTAAGTAGGTGGAGTTCCACCTATGTCTCACATTAGTTGAAAATTTTCTTGGGCGCATCTGGCTACTCCTGCAATATTGTTGAAATTCTTGGAGCCAAGCTTCAGAACTAGATATGAATAATAAAGATTCTCTAATATTTGTTAGATTACAGGAAATATGTTCAATTCTTTCTTGTACTAAATTTATTATGTGACATGCACACCGTTGATAAAAAATTTCACCACCAAACGCTGGTTTCAAACTACGTTTAGACATGTTAATTGCAGCCGTGTTAGCTGACGCATTATCAAAAGTAATAGTTAAAACTTTATCTTTTATCCTATAAAACCCAAAAATTTTCATTATTGTTCCAAAAATAGTATTTGCGTTATGATGAAATGGACATAAACGAAGACCTATTATTCTCTTTTGTAAAACTCATTTATTATCAAAATAATGCACCGTAACGTATAAATATTTAGTTTTATTGCACCCATCCCATAGATCAGAAGTACAAGATATATTAACATTAAAAGACCTAAAAGTATCAACTAGAGGCTTAAATCTGTGACATTAACGGCCCGTCCCATTTGACAACTCTAATTGGGAAGTTAAACTAGTGAATAAGAGGCTTATATCTGTGACATTTTCATTTGTTACCGTTCTTTTTACAGTTATGTGGCAGATACTAAGTAGGTTTTCTCCTGGAACTAAAAGTTACGCCATGATTTCTTTTAGTTTTGAGTCTTGTTGTTCTTGAACATTTGGTGTTCTGTGATCCTTTCTGGAAAGAACATCTTAATGAGTAAAGTTAATCAGTAAAGTCTGAAGTCAAGATGATAGTGTTTTGTCTATTGTTGGACATGAACGAAATAAGTACGTGATCTTTCTTCCCAGATGATCTATTGCAATTAATTGTTATCATTCAAAATTTTGAATGACTTAGACCCAGCAATAAGTTCTGAAGATCTTCTTTTTATTTTATTTTTATAATCTCTGTTTACTTTTTCTGAGTAAATATTGCTTTTTATTTGTCTCTAACCTTTGTTATGAGTTTATTGGTGGTGCTCATGGAATTAGATATATATATATATATATATATATATATTTTGTGCGTGTGTGTGTTTGTGTTTTTTTTTTTTGTGGCGGGGGCGGGGGGATGCTTCCTTTTGTTCAATGGTAATGTATGTGTCATTTTAACTCAAATTAAACCTTTTGTAGATTGAATGGAGTGTCAGAGGAGGCACTTTAAGAAACATTGATTCTGCTCGTCTATCAATCCCTACCACATTAAAGTATAATGAATCAAAGAAATGGTAAGGACTGTTTTATAATTATCTAGGACCTGGCATCTGTAATGGTTTCAGTTACCTGACTCTTGGATCAAGCGAGTTTGTCTGTTTTATACTGTCCATGGTCATTCATAGCTCTGAGTTTGTGCTGCAGTTACATTTACAGAGCACGATTGGAAGAAACAGAACAGTATTGGAGAGGCTGGTACGTATTTCGGGTGTCTTAGCTTGTCGTTACTTTAAGTATTTTTAATTGATGCTACAGCATTCAGATGTATCTCCAACACTGGGTCTTGGAAGGATTTGTTCTTTCGTGATGTATTCTGGTCTGGTGCACAATTTCATGGTTGAGTTGATGACAACCTTTTTTAGGACTGACTATTCCATATATTAGCTAGATCAGGTAAAAAGGCTAGAAACAAAAATTTCCATTAGTCAAAGGAGGGGAAAAAGGAACGCTTGAACTTAATATGAGTCTCTCTCTCACACAAATGGTTGATAGTACAAGTACACGACCATTCCTTTAGTTTCTTTTGCCAAATGAAGCACATTGTGGAAAAAGAAATGTATAACATGCGATGATTTTGCCAAGTTGTGATGCTAATGAATATGCTGATTGGTATCAGACCTTGGCTCTGATACCAACTGTCACAGGGACAGTCTCTCGCGCAAATTTTCTCGAACAAATCGACCATGTGATGGCCTAAGTGACCCACACTTAGTCAGCCAAACACGAATCAACACAGCACACTCAATAGCGCAACAGTAAGGAATCACACATGAACCCACACACGCAAACGCAAGGCACAATCTTACGGGAAATTTCACCCAACCCTGTTATTCATTCAACAAGAAGGAAATACAAGTGTTTACAGTCAATGCAGGATCATGACATTTTCATGTCTCTGCCATTTTCGTGGAACATATAGCCATACAAGGCAGATTACAACAAATAACTGCCAACAGTGTCCTGGACCAACCCGCACGAGCCATCTGGGCGCCTGGTCACTCTGAGTAACTGCCAGGCATGCTGTCTGGCTATGCAGCTTGCCATTTGTCCTTCAGACTTGTCTCTGCCCATCATTTCCGCGCACATGCCCGCCAAGGGCTGGGAAACGTCGGTAACCGCTCATAACCGCCACCGATATGTGTCATCTGACCAGGTCTCTAAGTCATCCGGGTCTTGGGCCACATCTTAGCCCGTTGGGCCCCTGGAACAGCCACCTAGGCTAACCAGGGCCCTCAACACACGCCCATTGGGCCAATCCCACGCACATCACCGTGAAGTCAGCCATCCTATCCAACCAAGTTCGACCTAAGGCCATGCCCACCCATAGCATGCCTTGGTGTCTCGGTCAGTGGCCTTGGTGGTGAACCTAACCCAACCAAGACACAGCGCCCCACGCCACTAAGGGGCTAACAAACCACCCCCACCAGAAGAAACCGATGTCCTCGTCGGGAGGCTATTCAAGTAAGCATTTACTTGATCTTCGAACTGCCAGAGGGAGACTGCCTTCTCCCAAGTAGCGTTTGCCACACTACTTCCTTTCCACTGAATTAAGTACTCAGCCCTCCAGTTTTTCTTGCTTGCTCCCAACGTTCTGTGATCAAGGATCTTCTCAATCTCCTTGTCAAACTCAACTCTGATCGTTGGAGGAGCTCACTTGTCTCGAGTCCGACTACTGCCTTCACCATCTTCATGGAATGGTTTTAGAAAACTCACATGAAATGTGGGATGAATCTTCAACCGTTCAGGCAGCTTCAATCCATAGGCAACATTCCCAATACGCTTCACTACCTCAAAAGGGCCATCATACTTCGCAACCAGCCACTTGTGGAACCGCTTGTTTGTCACCTTTTTCCAAATTTGGGGAGTACGTTTCAGCAACACCTTATCCCCTACATCGAACTCTAACGTTCTACGATGCTTATCAGCATCCTTTTTCATTCTCCTAGCAGCCTTAGATAGACTGTCCCGCGCCTGTTCCAATAGTTCGGTCTTGTCCCGTGCAAACCTGTAAGCAGCAGGGCAAACTCCTTGGGACTTCTGCTTGGCTACTTCATGAGGAGTCAGAGGTTGTTGACCCATCACCAACTCTGCAGGACTCATTCCCGTGGCTGAGGATTTGTGCAAGTTGTAACAAAACTGTGCAACATCAAGTAAATCAGCCCAGTCCCTCTGACTTGCACTCACATAATGCCTTAGGTACTCTTCCAGCAACTGATTCATTCTCTCTATTTGGCCATCGGTCTGCGGATGATTGGCTGTAGAGAATTTCAACTCCGAACCCATCATATAAAACAAAGCAGTCCAAAACTGACCAGTGAACCGAGTCTTTATCACTGACAATGTCTCTTGGTAATCCAAAAAGTTTCACCACATGCTTGAAAATTAACTCTGCCGCAACTTCAGCAGTACAAGCATTTGGTACTGGAATGAAGATAACATACTTCGAGAACCAATCAACCACAACTAGAACCAAACTCATCCCCTTAACTTCTGGAAAACCCACAATAAAGTCCATGGAAATCAACTCCCATGGCTTTTCAGCAATAGGAAGGGGCTGCAACAACCCCGCTTCTTCTTCTCAAGCTTATCTTGCTAGCATACCTTATAGGTCTTCACATAGAATTCAACATGGTCACCCATCTTTGGCCAAAAATATGACTTAGACAATAAAGCCAACATTCTTTCCATACCTGGGTGACCTGTCCACTGAGGGTCATGCATCTCCCGCAGTAATTCTCGCCGTAGTCCCCCTCCGCTAGGGACAAATAATCTGTCACCCTTGGCATATAACAGATCATCTTCAATTAGGTACCTCTTAACCACACCCTCGCTGACTTCCTGTTTCAGCTTCGAGTAGGTTGTGTTGGGCATAGCCTGCTCCCTCACCCGGTCGAGAAAAGTTGACTGCACCGCAGACAACGCTGCAACATAGGCTTGAACATCCCTCCTACTTAACACATCAGCCACTTGATTCTCCCTTCCCGGCTTGTGCATACACACAAAATCAAATTCAGCCAAGAATTCTTGCCATCTTGCTTGCTTCGGGGTCAGGTTCTTCCGAGTTTTGAAGTAAGTATTGGCCACATTATCCGTCATGACAGTGAACTTTGTGCCCAAGAGATAGTGCCTCCAAGCATCAAGGCAGTGCACAACCGCAGTCATCTCTGTTAAGCCCAAGCCCTTACAGACTTATGTTAGGCGTAAGATTAGGGGGCAGAGTAGTCTTTTGGTATTTTAAGGATTTAGGGCTTTAGTATAAAGAGGATATTAGGAAGTTAATTAGGCTTATGCTGAGTTTTGTCAAGTTATTAGGAATAGTTAGGAGTTTAGGAGAGATTGACCTACCTCTCGAATTGTAGGTCAGGATTTGTTTTTCAATTGATTTGATTAATAATAATAAGCCCTAATTCAGCCCTAATCTCAATTGAGTCTTCTCTGAAACCTATCAATCTCTTTCTCATGGACTGAATACCTTTGCTCATAGTCTTTCAACTTTCGACTCTCAAAAGCCAATGGATGTCCCTCTTGAACCAACACACCCCCAATAGCACGGCCAGAGGCATCAGTAAGCACTTTGAATGGTTTCTCAAAATCAGGCAACTTGAATACTGGCTCAGATGCAACAACATCCTTTTAACTTTTGAAATGCCGCTTGGCACTCATCCTTCCAATGTCACTTCTGGTCCTTCTTAAGCAAATCTGTCAAAGGGTTCACCTTCTTCGAATAGCCCCTGATAAACTTGCGATAATAATTAGCAAGTCCCAGAAAAGATCTCAGGTCAGTTACCTTAGTCGGAGTAGGCCAATCAAGGATTGCCGGCACCTTCTTTTCATCCATCTGAATCTGCCCCTTTCTGACCCAATGTCCCAAGAACTTCACTTCTTGGCGGCAGAATTCGCACTTTTCTTTCTTCACATAAAGCTTGTATTCTCTAAGCTTTGAGAATACTCGCTTCAAATGACCCACATGGTCAGCCAAGGTCTCTCTGGTGAACGTAATTTAGTGGATTTTTTACTTTTATATGATACCTGGTGTTTCATAAGTCATTGCCACTCCAGTTCAGTTACTAAACAGTTAGTTACTTGCAGGTATGAAGGCCTTTCAGAAAAATTTCTGTCAAGTCCTGTTCCGAAGCTGCTGCTTTTGGCTGGAACAGACCGACTGGACAGGTTCTCCCCATGGACTTGCCTACCATTATATTTATTTGTAGTATTTTTCTAATGACATCAGAGTTCATCTAAGTATAGTAACATATTACGACGTCACTGCTTGATTAGATCAGGTCACATATTGAATATGATATTTTTTTTTCCTAGACTTTTCATGTTGGCATGATATGGTATGAAATCAGATTTCACATTTCATAGATTTCTATTTAGGAAACAAAATTTGAAAACAAGGATTGATAAAATTCGACTCCATTGTCCTTACGAATGACATAGCAGAGGGGGCTTGATTAGAGATTCTTTTGAAACTTTCTGCTAACGTGGCCTACCCCTGTTTATTTATTTTGTCTAAAACAGAGCTCTCACGATTGGTCAAATGCAAGGAAAATTTCAAATGGTTGTTGTGAGACATACCGGGCATGCTATACAGGTAAATATCGATTGTGTTTCATGGTGCTTTATTTTATTTTTTGAATTTTCGCTCACCTCGTAATTCATCTTTCATTTAAGAAATGGTGCCAATTGTGTTCCAAATTTTTGCAGGAAGATGTACCTGAGGAGTTTGCCACTCTGATACTTAACTTTATATCTCGGAACCGAATAGGCCCCCATGGAGTTGAGGTCAGTTTCTCCTCTTTGGATGTCATGAAAGGAAGAAAGATTCGTACCTCTTAGATCACTAGGAATTAGACTCATTTATGCCGTCCCCAACCCCCAACCCTAAGAGGCAACAGAGGAGAAATTTCTATGATACTGTCACTTCTTCCAATATTTGTATGAACTATAACACAGCCCGGGGCAACGACGAACGGTTAAATTCGAGGATATGAAATTGGGACCAATAAATTGGGAATGTGAATGTGATCGTTCTATGGCAAATTTACTTTGTTTAAAGTAACTTAAAATAGAAACATGTTTAAAGGGGATACGTGATTACTTGGGATGTTTGATCTTTATTCAACTTATGTTTTGAGGTGTTACCATTCACGGTTATATATTGGCGGCGGACATAACAATATTATTGAAGCTATGTTTTTAAGACCATAGTTTGGTGATGCAATTCTTTAGTTAGGAAAATACGAGTTCAAGTCTTGTTACATGTACGTTTGTAATGAAACTGATGGTCAGTTCATATGACTACTTTGTGTTGCAGATACCAGGGCTTCGCCGTCCTTTCCAGTCTCAACCGAAATAAAAAAACGATGAATCAGCCTGTATTAGTCTTTCTACATCCTGTTATTTACGTTCTCTCCCCTTTTCTATGGTTTTTTGTTTTTTTGTTTTTGGTTTTTGGGTTTTCACTTACGAACCGAACCCCAAGACACAAGTTTTTGTATATTATTCTAGCTTAGAATCTAATCATTAAAAAAGAATTTTACGTGAAACATGTTATTTTGTTGTACCGGTAGAAACAATAAATTTTAAAAGTTAATTAATTTTTTATATTAGTTCATATTAAAAAATTCACAGCTGCTCCTGTTGCAAGCTAAACTGTTAAAAAATTAACATTAAAAATACAATTTCTATTAGTAGAGTAAAATAACATGCTCATAAGAACTCCCAATTTTAATGCTGTAATAAGTTTTTCTATTTTCATTATATTCTGATTTTCATCTATCAAAACATAATGTTGAGAAACACGTACTAATATTACCACCTACCAGTGCTCCCCGCCACAGAGTCCTGATTTCCCCAGTACCGTGTTTTTCCCGAAAATTCAAGCTTTACCGTCCAAAAACAGCTGATCTTGCAAAATGAGTTTAAGCTCTCACCAACATCAATATGACCCTCATATTGGGGGCTAATTGTCATCTTCCAATGGCATAAAGAATTGGTCATGGAATATAAGCTTTCATGTTCAATCATATAATGACTATCCTCAAAAATTCCATTTCCTCAAGTCCTTAAGATCTTACTCAGTTCATCCTCACCAGAGGAGAAAAAAATAAAATCCTTGCTCATCAGTTCCTGATGTATATAAAGCTTATAACAATATTCGCACCGAGATAAAAATATAAAAGAAATTATCCAATAATTTATAATCAGTAAAATGGTGTTCCACCAAATCCAAAAAATTATAACCAAACTGATTGTTACGTTTGTTTGCCAATTACAGCAACCTCTTCCTAGAGAAATAATAGGAAAGCAAAACTCCGAGCATTGCAGACCTAAATGGTCTTTAGTTTATTGGTAAAACAAAAGGCAATTCAGCCGCTCTGTGCGAACAAATATTAACTGCTGCAAAATGGAATGGGATGAGGATACATCTTTTAAGAAGCAGTAGATTCCTTCAAATAGGCAATTAAGTCTGCGCGGTCCTGAGGTTTCTTCAATCCCGGGAACACCATCTTCGTTCCAGGAATGTACTGCAAGACGAGTTTTTTCGAGGATCAGTACTAACAGAAGGATAAAAAGTACACAGAGATGATAACAATTCATGGTCAAAAAACGAACACCACAATAATCATTAATTTGGGAAAAGGGAACTCTGGATCTGAATCCAGAAAGACAATTAGAAGAAAAGACGAAAAAGACGAAATGCCCGACCATAGCAAGCATAAGCTAAAGTTTGAGCACCAAACATACACAGAGGCATGTTAGCCAGGATACTAAAACTCTAAAAGAATCAAACAAGCATTCCGAAATCACAAAGCCATGAGATAATAGAGAAAGTAGATTGAAACTTGAAAACATTCATACCTTCTTGGGGTTTAGCAAGTAATCATACAATGTCTTTTCCTCCCAATTCACAGCCATGTTCTTGTTAGCAGCAGAGTAAGAGTATCCTGGAGTTGTTCCAGACTGCCTTCCAAACAATCCATTTAGATTGGGTCCTGAATTTTCAGAAATCTTTAAGATCATCACAAAAACTTTAAGAACGAAAGTCGATAGTTCCCAATTTCAAAAGGAATAATGTAATCGAAAAATTTATGTGATAACTTCAAGGGGACATGGGGAAAGTACACGGCTAAAAGCATTCTGGCCATAAAAGAAAATCATTATAAAATGACAAGACAAACAAGTAGTCATCAATTTCTCAGCTCCCAGACATTTCACTCTAAACATTGATATTCTAGACCTAACAATGCTAGAGAAATGATATCAAACAAAACAAATACTCAAGTTCCAAAATGTTATCACGCTTCTAAGTATTAGCTATTCCAATTCATTTTTAAGGGAAATAATCTCCTGATTTGTTCATTATTCCTCTTTAATAACATGGGGATACGCCATTGGTTCCATTTGGAGACAATTTTCCTGGTAAAAAATGTAATGAAGAAATTCAAAATCTCCAACCATTTCTTTTGGACTCCGATCAAAGGTGCCAACTTTACCCAGGTTCAGCGAACCATTGGAACACAAAAACCGAACACAATCATTTATCTTCTCAAGCTTTAACAATAATCAAATAAACAAATTCCATCGAAATACCGGGTTTATATCACATCACATCATTCGGTTAAGAAATGCCTAAAGATCTAAAAGTACAGAAAACGCACAAAATTGTAATGATAGAATCCAAACAAGACGAAACACCATGATCAGAACAGATCCAAACAACTTACATAGATATGTACATATCACCGATAGATCCAACCGAAAGACAAGAAAATTAGCCACCCAAAAACCTTAATTTCACAAAATCAGAACATAAAAAAAATTGAAAAAGAAAAAGAAGAAAACTTGATGATCGATTACCTTGCTTGTGACCAGAGCCTTTTTCGACGGTGTGGCACTGAGCGCACTTGGTTTTGAAGATTTTCTCTCCGGCCTTTGCATTGCCAGGGGGAGCTTCGCTGAACGACGCCATTTTCTGTTCTTTTGTTTGGGGGGTGAGAAAGTTGTAGAAAATCTGAGAAAAAGCGGTTTTAGGGTTTGTTGAGGTGAAACGCAAATTCGAGGAAAACAGGTGAATTTAAATATATTTATATATATGAAGAATATTCCAGAGGAACCAGCACGCGGACTACCACATTTCACACGGAAGCTAGCCCTACGTTCTGCATACGCGGCATGATATTAGTGGCTTATAAATAACTAAAATTTTTATTTAGTGGAAGTTTGATTTATAAATTTAGAAATATCTTCATTTTATATATGTTTTTTTTTTTAAAATATATTTTAAAAAATTATAAATTATGATTTAAAATTATGGGTGAATTTATTTTTTAATATTTTTAATTTTTAATTTTTATTTTTTTGCCGAAAAGCCTTTTCTATTTCTAGCCTTTTTATTTTTTCCTTGAAAATTGAAAATTTTCTTCTATTTTTTAATGATTAAAATTTTATTTTGGATTCCTATTTAGAAAATCATACAATAATATCATCCATCTAATAGAGAAGTTGGCAATTCCTTGGCTGTTTTTTGGACAAATTCAGTTGCTTTTCGGATGACGCTAGGAGCTAGCAATTTGGGGCTTGTTGTTTTGTCCTTTTTGAGTTAGGTGATTTGAGTGTAAATTTTAAATTGAGTTTGAGTTATAATTTGAGTTAAAATTGTAACTTAAGTTTGTGTTTGATTGTGTACATTTGAGTTATGGTTTGAGATAAAAATCTTTTTGAGTTTGTGTTTGAGTGAGTCAAAACTTAAATTTATATTTAGATAGTATTTTAATAAAAAATCAATGCTGATGGAAAATTTTAATAGGGTATATGGGTGAGGTTTTATTCGTCTTTTCGTTGTCAACACATAGAAAAAAATCATCTCAATCAGAATTAAAACGAAAAAGTTATAGCATTTTTAAGAATAGAAAAAATACTGTTCATTAATTTGAGTTCGAGTTTTTGAACTCGAATTGAAAGGGAAACTTGAACTCGAGTTTTACCCGTTTGGTTTATGGATTAGAACCATTTTCGATTTACGTGTGTTTTTTGTGAGAAAAAATACTGTAGTCGAATCAGAGAACGAATCTTTCAACTAAACAGGTTCTTAAGTCCCAAACTCGAGTTTAAATTCGAGTTCAAACTTAAAAGAACATGAACTTAAAAAAAATTATAACTCGAGTTATTTTTTTAAAATTTTTAATTAAAAAAAGGGCTGCCGAAGCCCTGCGTTTGCTGAACACCATTAAATATTTTTTGACAAACAAATCCACGCTCTTTTTATTATTATTATTATTATTATTATTTTAAGGAAACAATTCCACGCTCTCGTGGTAGTCAAAAAGAGAAAATGTCAAAAATGGCGAACAGGAAAAAAAATAATTGTAAAAAGAAAAGAACAGAACAGACGATCGACGAAGCTGATAAACGGGCCTGGGGTCCAAATCCATTGGACTGCCTCTTCTTGTTGGCCCACAAATAATTAACAATCTAACAGCTTGGTTCAGATTTTCCACAAATCCATGCCTTCAATTTATCATCGTCATTCTTTCAAAATAATAATAATAATAATAATAACAAATAAAAATGATCATCATCGCAAGGAAAAATTACTCGAATATCATTCCACTACATTTAATATGCCCTAAAAATTAATATAGTAGATACCGTTAGTTGCCACGAGTGACTTGTACATATTTATTATAAGACTATCTCTCATATAAATATTAATGCTAATTATATATTTAACATAAAAAAGTATAATATGATATGTTATTTTTATTTTTATTTTAATGCATAAAGTTATTTAAAATGTTAAATTAAGCTTTGAAAGTTATAAAAGTAAACTTTTAGTTTTAAAATAATTAAAAAATGTAAAAGTTACAATAAATATTTCAACTAATAATAATCAAATGTTAAATTTTTCATATGTTATATTTAGTGAGAAATTTGTCACAAAGTATAATATATGAAAATTTTGATACAATAAATAATATTATATTAAAGAATGTTTTTTTGTACTTAAATACTAAATTTACAATTGACACAATAATTATAACTGTATTAGAGATGCTTGTCGTACAAAAAATTCAAATAAACCATCGGTGTCCTACCATGATACATAAAGGTATCTTATCATGATAATAAAAATTTATGACGACTTCCCTGTTGACGGTTGGATTTCGTCAACAATAAACCCGCCGGAATACCTTGGGGTTCCCCTTTGGATTACCGGCTTGTGGGTTTAATGAAAGTGTGGATTCAGGTTGAATTTAAGTATTTTTGTGTTTGAATGAACTGTATGTAAATGAACAAGAAGAATTTTATAGTGGTTCACTCTATGAAATTAGAGCTACATCCACTGTATATACTATATTTCTTTTTGTGGAAATCTGAGTTTACAATGAATATCATCTCTCTTTCTCTCTCTATCTCTTTCTTTTTTCTTTTGAATTTTTCGGTCCCCTTTCCTATTGAGGTCCTTCTTCTTTTGTACTCGGGCTTCATTCACTGGGTGGGTTTCTTTCGTAGGTAGGAACACTCAAGTGCTCTCCCCTTCTAGGCCCAGACATAGCCCACTAATTAGTACTGTTCACTCAACCAATTAGTATTCTATTACGGCTCTGTAACTCTCCGTAATGCTTTTCTGTCCCCTGGGGGGGGAAGGGGTTTGTAAAATTGCAATTACTGCTGTCAGACTTCCCTTATCTTTGCATGTAACCTATCATGTCGAAAAGGGACGTTCCCCTCGTCGTTAGTGGTTGTTTAACCTTTCTCGCCCCTTCCAGTGATCTCTTCTGCAGTCGAGGGATCTTGTCGTGTCGACCCAGGCAAAATCAACCGTCGACGCCTCATAGGGTCGTCGCCCTAATTATGGACTTCATCTTCGGGTTCTATAGCTGATCTTGAGGGAAACGAAGCGTCGATGGTTGGGTGCTCAGTGGAAAGTAAGTATAGCCACGTGTCGTGGCACCGTCAGTCCAGGTGTCCATCACATTTTCCCACACAACAGCCACCCCCCAGGTCGAGGGCTCCTTCTTTAGGCGGCCTCGAGCTCTAGGTTCGGTTTGTCCTTTCCGTGCTTCGGGTGTGGGAAATCGGTCCCGAATCTCCGTCCGTAATGATGGCCTGGGTGCTTTGGGTGTATAACCGTCGTGTCGATTGATTTGGCATAATGATGAGTATCCGTGTTTCAAGAAAATGAATATAGGCCGTCGGATCCGCGTCTTTTCAATTTTTCGCCCTTCCTCTTACCGTCAGATACGGAGAGTGATCCCTGGCCGTTGGTCTTTTAGGGTCTTCATCCGACGGTTGGGGGCCTTCATTCCTGACTCTTTAAATACTCTCTATGGACCCGAGGGTCATTTTTTCCTTCTTCGAAACTTCAAAAAACTTTTTGCCGCTG